TTATTTCGGGGTTAAGCTAGCTGGGTGGCCAGAATGAACAAGTGGCCTTCCTGTTACACGGGCCCTAGAAAATACTTGATCCGTAGCCCCTACACAGACCCCAGACAGCTAGGATCTAAGCCTTGACCCAGGGAAAGAAACACAACCTGAAAATGGGGCAGGAGCCTCAGGAGTTGGCGCTTTGTCCCCAAACCTGGAGCCAAAGAAAAGCCCCAAGTCTGAAGACTAGGACCAAAGGGATGCCCTAAGTCCCTAGGTCCAGGACATACCAAAGAAACTTGCGTCGGCCCCAAAATTAGGGTTAAAGTGGGAGAAAGAACTACAAAAAGAAACACAGTTTGGACCCAGAAATGGAACCATTTCTGCCCCTAACTAGAAACCAACCAATCCCTGAGCAGGGAAAAAAGACAATCAAAGTCCCAGACAGTTACTGGCCGCTGGGAATTCCCCTCAGGCCTGGTAAACCCATCCTGAGGGTGGGCAGCCAATCTCAAGCCTGGAAGATTGAAATTCCCCCTCACGCCACTAGGGGGCAGCCAATCACAAGGCTTGAGGCTTGGAATTCCCTGAGCCTTTACCCCTATATAAACCTCCATTTTTTTGCTGCTCCTGGTCCCTTTCCTGTGTTGTTCTGTTGCTGCAGCTGCTGTAGTTGCAGAAGTAGTTGCTACTTCAGAAAGACAGAGGGACCTGAGTTAACTAGTGAATAAAGACTGTTTTTTGTTTTTTTTTTTTGGTTTTTCGAGACAGGGTTTTTCTGTAGCTTTGGAGCCTGTCCTAGAACTAGCTCTTGTAGACCAGGCTGGCCTCAAACTCACAGAGATCCACCTGCCTCTGCCTTTCAAGCTGGGAGTAAAGGAGTGCGCCATCGCCACCCGGCATGAATAAAGATTCTTTGTCTCGTGGTGATGATTTGGGTTTTAGAATTGGGGCATAACAGCCAGCATCCCATGACTGACAGGACACACCCAACACCTTATCACAGGACACTCAAACTGCACCCCTCAAGTTCTGTCCTTGGTGTTGGCCGCACTGAAACAGATTCCTCTTCCGATGTGGGATGTCACTCTGTATGCTGTGAATGTTTTATTACCATTGTTCAATAAAGAAGCTGATTTGGCCAATAGCCAGGCAGAATAGAACCAGGTGGGAAATCCAAGCAAAGGGAAGAAGGCGGAGTCTGTTGAGATGCCAGAAACTAAGCAAGATGTGAGGTAACAAGCCACAAGCCTCGGGGTAAGACATAGAATAATAGAAATGGGTTAAGTTGTAAGCTAGCTAATAATAAGTCTGAGCTAATAGGCCAAGCAATTTGTAATTAATATTAAGCCTCTGAGTGTTTACGCGGGAACTGGCGGGCAGGAGAGAAACCTCCAGCTACACTCTCCTGTGTCACCGCACTCGCTCCCCCGTTGGGTGGCTTTCTTGGGAACTAGCCCTGGTCTGCTGACCTGGAGCTGTACTAACACAAGAGAACCTCATGAATACCAACTATATTAGCTATTCCCCTTGTCACTGTGACCCTACTGACAAAAGTCTCAGAGAAGGAGGGGTTTATTCTGGCTCTTGGTTTGAGGGGACAGTCCATCATGGTAGGGAAGTCACAGAGGCAGGACTCTGAGGCAGCTGAAATGTACTGAATCCCGCAGTCAGGAAGCAGAGAGACGGACCCTGGTGCTCAGTTGATTCCTCCTTTGTACTCTGTCCAGGACACCCGACCTTGGCACTGTGTGGCTTACTACTTAGCATGGGCTTTCCCTGCCAGAGGTTTGTCTTCTAGGTGGTTCTAGATCTTGCTGGCTCTAGGTCTGGAGGTGGCCTCTGCTTTCCCAGGAGCTCTTGAGAGTCTTTTTTTTTTTTTTTTTTTTTTAGCATAAACTGGATTAGACCCTATCTTATTTTTTAATTTTTTTGGTCAGCATACAAAAAATTATCAGTATCCCACCACCCTTTCCTGTCACCCCCAACCCATCCCCATGCCTTACGATACACACTAGCAATAAAGAGAGCAACTTGTTTCCACAGAGGCGCCTGGTGAATGCTACAATATGGTGGTTTTGAGGGGTAGAGTGGACGTTCCTCCATACCAAATACTTGCATTTATAAATTCAGGAACTTTAAAGAAAAACAAAGTTTTCCATACAGATCCCACACAACAGCTAAGACTTCACTGGAAATCGAGGTGCCTGGGATGGAACCAGGCTCTCTCACTGAACCCGAGGCTCACCGTCTGGGCTCTGCTGGTCAGCTAGAGAGCTCTCCATATCTGCTCATCTCCCATCTCCTGGGCCATGCCTGGCTGTGCACCTGGCTGCTGGGGTCCTCGTGCTTGTATAGCAAGTGCTCTTACCTCAAGCCTCTCCCCAGCCCCATCTCCATTTCACAGATGAGGAAACTGAGGCTCAGAGAGCTCGCCATTCCCAAGGCTACCCATGTCCCTGGTGCTGACAGGGAATGTGAACTCAGGCCTTCTGATTCGATTTTATCAGGATATGCCATGGAAATAGGTTAAAAGGAGCTGGATGTCAGTGCCAGAGCACTTACCTAGTGGGCGTGACACTCGGGCAGACTTTAGGACAAACCATCACTGATAAAATGTCATGTGGAAACTTAGCCAGCATGGGGAAGGGAGGCTCATCAGGACAGGTTGACGCCAGCTCACGTAACCTAGCAGAAGCCTGCATCCTGTGTCTCAAAAATTCATATGAAGACACCAACTATTCAAGCTACAAGCAGCTTTTCACATAAAAGAAATTCGCATACCGGCCATTACTTTAGCGGGTTTACAAAGCTTTTCTCCATTATGTGTTCTTAGGCTAGGGATCCCTATATTTTGCACAACGCTTTTCAACCTTCTAGTACTTTACAAAACAACATGCTTTTTTTTTTCTCTTTCAAGACAGGGTTTCTTTGTAGCTTTGGAGCCTGTCCTGCAACTAGCTTTTTTTTTTTTTTTTTCTCTTTAAGATGTGTGTGGCTTTTGTTTGGTTTCTTCTGTTTGGAGACAGGCTCACAGGCCAGCAATCCTCCTGCCTCAACCTGCTGGTACTAGGTTTACAGTTACGCTCCACCACTTGGGCAATGCCTCTTTTTCTCTCTTTGGCTTTTTTTTTTTTTTAAAGATTTATTTATTATGTACACAGTGTTCTGTCTGCATGTACACCTGCAGGGCAGAAGAGGGCACCAGATCTCATCATAGATGGTTGAGAGCCACCATGTGGTTGCTGGGAATTGAACTCAGGTCCTCTGGAAGAACAGCCAGTGCTCTTAAGCGCTGAGCCATCTCTTCAGCCCGGAACTACCTCTTATAGACTAGACTGGCCTCGAACTCAGAGAGATCCGCCTGCCTCTGCCTCCCGAGTGCTGGGATGAAAGGTGTGCACCACCACTGCCTAGCTTCAAAACATGCTTAAGATAAATTGGTGTGTTAAATAAACATCTTGAGTTTAGGCTGGTACGTTTTAATAGGCCAGAACACTTGCGGCTAGAACACTTACGACCTGAGTTTGATCTCCGGGACACAGCTGATGGAAGGAGAGAGATGACTTCTGCAAGTTCTCTGACCTTCAACCCTGAACATTTATTTCTGTGTAAATGCCCACCTGCAAGAGACTCCTGTGAGCCTGAGGCTCTGAAGGTGTAGGGAGGGAATTCTGCCGAGTTAACTTAGGACATCTTACTTGTGGAAAGTCCTGAAGGTGGCTTTGTCACAGGGCAGACCTTCTAATCTTGATGAACTTGGGGTTTTTTTTTTTTTTTTTGAACTTGGGCTTTTTAAACAAATGTCTTGTCTTGCACATTAGTTTCAGCAGGGCACAAGCCCTCCAAGGGTGAGCTGACACTCTTGGCTGGAAGCCACAGGTAGTATTGAATCAACATCCCGGCTGGTATTTCAGTCTAGCACCCCAACGGTTCTATGATAACACTGAAGAGCACCTGGTTTGCTATACGATGGCCAAGAACCAGGCAAAGAAGAAACATTTCCAAACAGGCTTGAGTAGAGATGCTGTTTCTGGGGCTGGGGACCTACCAGCTGTAAGCGCTGACCTAGCATGGGTCAGCCTGCATACTTGGAGACCCTTGTGGATGATAAAGCACCTGAGATAGGCTGAGACAGGGTGACAGCGCGGGGTGAAGCATCCCTGGGAGAGCTCGGACTGCAAGGCATCCAAGCACTGAGCAGGACTGAATGAAGTGTGAAGTGGCTCCTCAAACTCTTGGTTCACTTTCAAAGTTCTGAAAATTGGTGACTCAAAACAAGAAAATCTCCACTCAGGAGCCTGGGGGGAAGCACATGATGGTAAAATCACCAAAATGAACTCGGAGCAAACATGTCTGCACAGGCCACTGATGCTAGCTAGCTGGGAGTCCTGGCAGGGAGGCGCTGCACTGCTGAGCCTGCTCTTCAGATCACACATGTGTGAAGGCAGGAGCGAGGTCTGGACAGACGCACACAACTAGGATGTGGCACCATGCACAGACTGTGTGGAGTCAGGAAGCTGGTGTCTTGGTTCATGCCCCTTTCCACTTCTCCAGAATATTATGATGCTGTCAAGCACCAGACCTGGGCCAGGTGTTTGGACTTTCCAGCCATGAAAATGATGAATCAAATAAGCCTTTCTCTTTATGTGCTATCATCAGGTATTCTGCTAAAGACACAAAAATTGACTAAGATGCCCAATGCCCCTCAGCTTCTCTGATGCCAACAGCTTCTTTGCTCTCTAGCCCACGGGAAGAGGGGAACGATGTCATATTCTGCTAAATGTAAGCTGTATTCGTTATCTTTCCAAAAGCTTCACTGCTCATCTTTATTTTATAAAAAGTTCTTCAAAGCAAAAGCAAGACACATTTTATTTATTTATTTATTTATTTATTTGGTTTTTTCGAGACAGGGTTTCTCTGTGGCTTTGGAGCCTGTCCTGGAATTAGCTCTTGTAGACCAGGCTGGTCTCGAACTCACAGAGATCCACCTGCCTCTGCCTCCCGAGTGCTGGGATTAAAGGCGCGTGCCACCATCGCCTGGCAAGACACATTTTTTTTTAACTCACTTTGTAGACCAGGCTGGACTTGAACTCAGAGATCTGCCTGCCTCTGCTTCCCAAGTGCTAGGATTATAGGTGTGCGATACCATGGCCTGGTGCAAGATGCATTTTGGGGGGGAGGGGATTTTTTTGAGACAGGGTTTCTTTGTAGCTTTGGAGCCTGTCCTGGAACTCACTCTGTAGACCAGGCTGGTCTCGAACTCACAGAGCTCTGCCAACCTCTGTCTCCCGAGTGCTGGGATTAAAGGCGTGTACCATCACCACCCAGCACAAGATGCATTTTAAATAGCTGATACTGTAGAATTTTGTGTTCAAGAAGCAAACATGTCAAATAATGAGTTCATTGAGAATGTATCAGTCACTCAGCTTTTCAAGGCTTCCAGACCATCACTGATTTTCAATCATTTTGGTTATTGGTTGAAGTCCTTGGGTTAGCTGAGCCACAGGAGTAGATTTTCCACTTAAAGCCACAGAATATGAGGCTCTGGTCCCCAAACATGCGGATGCTTCTCTGGGAAGATTGATAATGCATAGTCAGAGTTGCTGGTGAACTGCGGACTCTGAGATCGAAGGTCAAAGCTCATCTTGGTCACTTCTCTCTCGCGAAGAAACCCATCGACTGAGAATCACCTCCTGCAACCGAGCAAAAGAGGTCTGGGCGTCAGAAAAAGAAATGGGAGTCCCAGGCATGTGACACTATGACCCTCACATGGGAACCTGTCCACTGTCACCACTGAACTAGTGTCCCAGCATAGCAGCGACAAAGGCTAGTGCCTGACCCCTAGGACTGGTGGTCTGAGGGGCACTGACACTTGTTGGTTGGCCATGTAAACTTTGGTTGACATTTTTATGAACCACCAACCTAGAGAAGATCAGAACAAACGGAGGGAGGTGGCACTGGGGCCCTGGAGACTCTGACTGGGACCAAGGAGGACACAGCCTCCAGAGAGAAGGAAAGCAAGGCCACACTGGCTGTGTGTGGGAGGTCTTCTGGGCAGTGGCAAAGGGAAGGGTACAGAAGCAACAGCACTAGGGACTCAATGATGAACTCGGCAGCACTAGCAGAGAAAAACAGCCAGTACTGGAAGGCGCCTGGAGTAAGCTGTGTGGGCGTGCGAGGCCCTGTTTTCACTCTCAACACTGAAGAAGTTTGAGGAGGGATAGATGGCTAGTCTCTGGGCGCGGGACCTGTGGGAGACCTGGCCTGGCTACAGCAGGAGAAGGGAAAGCAAGAGAGAGCCTGGTACTGTGGAATGGTGGAGTCTACCAGGTTCAGGGGGAAGAAAGGGAGTCAGGTTTACAGGGCCAGAAGAAGCTTTCCGTCAAAAAAAGATCCTTCCTGTAAGCTCCAGAAGATGCAGTGCGAGCGGACTCTCAGAAAGCTGTGGCCCTAGTTCTGCTACACACACCTGAACCTGAATCCTCTTCATGCATTCTGGGGTCTCCATGTCTTTGCTTGTCATGGAAGAGGGCTTAATCAAGTAGCACAGCATCAGTTCCTGCAAGAACAGAGAGACCGCATGTGCCAGTGTGTGGAGAGGATCAGGCACCCCTGCCTGTCCCTGTGTACACTGGACACACACTGTGGTGCACACCCGTCCCTGTGTACACTGGACGCACACACTGTGGTGTGCACCCGTCCCTGTGTACACTGGACACACACTATGGTGTGCACCCGTCCCTGTGTACACTGGATACACACACTGTGGTGTGCACCCATCCCTGTGTATACTGGACACACACTGTGGTGTGCACCCATCTCTGTGTACATTGGACACACACTGTGGTGTGCACCCGTCCCTGTGTACACTGGATACACACACTGTGGTGTGCACCCGTCCCTGTGTATACTGGACACACACTGTGGTGTGCACCCGTCCCTGTGTACACTGGACACACACTGTGGTGTGCATCTGTCCCTGTGTACACTGGACACACACTGTGGTGTGCACCCGTCCCTGTGTACACTGGACACACACTGTGGTGTACACCCGTCCCTGTGTACACTGGACACACACTGTGGTGTGCACCTGTCCCTTGTACACTGGACACACACTATGGTGTGCACCCGTCCCTGTGTACACTGGATACACACACTGTGGTGTGCACCCGTCCCTGTGTATACTGGACACACACTGTGGTGTGCACCCGTCCCTGTGTACACTGGATACACACACTGTGGTGTGCACCCGTCCCTTGTACACTGGATACACACACTGTGGTGTGCACACGTCCCTTGTACACTGGATACACACACTGTGGTGTGCACCTGTCCCTTGTACACTGGACACACACTATGGTGTGCACCCGTCCCTGTGTACACTGGATACACACACTGTGGTGTGCACCCGTCCCTTGTACACTGGATACACACACTGTGGTGTGCACCCGTCCCTGTGTACACTGGACACACACTGTGGTGTGCACCCGTCCCTTGTACACTGGACACACACTATGGTGTGCTCTTAACCATGGAACCATGTCTCCATCTCCTACATTTCCAATTTTAAAAAGGAACTAGGTAAATGGCAGGCAAGGCTAAATCTGTGTTACCTTAGAGACGTTCCCTGAGACTCTGCTCAAGGCAGCCAGCGACTTCCAGCTAAAAGGCCTACGGAGGGAGCCCTCGAAGTTGTCGTCCACGAGCTCAACGATGACAGAATAGCTAGGAGACAAGAGAGGCATCCTGGGAAACCCCAAAATCACCTTGTTCAGAGAGCAGTCTGTCCCACTAAAACCAAGACACAAGGATTTCTCAGTGCTGCTAAGAGCCCAGACCATTAAAGAGAATCACTAATGACAAACCGACGGGAAGCTACCACTCCAGGATGATCGCATGCTTACTGACATAGGAACAGAAGCGTTTCTCTCTAGGGAAAGCATCAGTTCATACAGCTGCTTGGATGCTCTGAAGACTGCACACAGACTAACCTGGTGTCTAACACATACATCATGTATACAGTGCAAAACAGAGTCTCACTTTGTAGCCCTGGCTAGCCTGGAACTTGTTATGTAGACCAGGTTGGCCTCAAACTTATAGAGCTTCACCTGCCTCCTCCTCAGAGTACTGGGGTTAAAGATATGAGCTACCACACTTAGCCGTAAATAACTTTTTAAAGAAATATATCTTATTTTTATAAGTATTATGTTTGGCTGGAGAGATTGCTCAGAGGTTAAGAGAACTAGTTGCTCTTCTATAGTACTCGGGGTCAATTCCCAGCGCCCACATGGCAGCTCACAACTGTCTGTAACTCCTGTTCCAAGGGATCTGATACCCTTATGCAGACACATATGCAGGCAAAACATCAAGTACATAAAATAAAAATAAACCATTGGAAAAGTAATATAGGTGTTTGCCTGAAAGTGTTGTGTACCACATTCATGCTTCTGTTTGTGGATGACAGATATTGGGTCCTCTTGTTGAAAGCCACCATGTGGGTACAGAGAACTGAACCTGGAGCCTCTGGACAAGCAGCCAGTGCTCTTAACCACCAAGTCATCTCTCTAGCTCTAGCAATACTACTGTTTTTAGTTTTTTTTTAAAGATTTATTTATTATGTATACAACTTTCTGCCTCCATTTATACCCACACGCCAGAGGAGGGCGCCAGATCTCTTTACGATGGTTTGGAGCCACCATGTGGTTGCTGGGAATTGAACTCAGGACCTCTGGAACAGCATACAGTGCTCTTAACCACTGAGCCATCTCTCCAGCCCCTAGTTTTTAGTTTTTTGAGACAGGGTTTTACTGTGCAGCCCTGGCTGTCCTGAAACTCCCTTTGTAGACCAGGCTGGCCTTGAACTCAGAGATTTGCCTGCCTCTGCCTACTGAGTGCTCCACCTGGCTAGGAATATGACTTTTAATTGTTTCTGAGACATTGAAAATGAAACTTGAAGCCAGAAATTTCCTTGTGTTTTTTCAATTAATTTAAAAATTTTCCAAACCTTGCATGGTAAAACGGAGGGCCTTTCCGATACAGCACTGCAAAGAGGAGAAAGGAGATGTTAACCCATCATAGCCAGGCCAGAGTGAGGCAAGCACTCCTCTTTCTGCACGAGGACACTCTGCTCTCTGCCCCCTAGGCTGGCTTCGCACCCAAACTCCTTCCCAGAAACACAGAAGTCAGTCAGATCCGCTGCCAAACCTCGATATCCTCGCCCACCCCATAAGCAGCTCTCCTGGTGTTGGGACTGAGTCCAGTGTGTAACGTGGTAGGAAAAACATGAAGTCCATAAAATGTGCAGTATTTGTGATAACTCAGAGCGAGGGTAGCCCCGTGAGCATGGCAGACGAGCAAACTTCCGGTTTATTTTAGGGGAAGCCAAAGGTCACTTCTCAGCCTCTTGGTTATGGAAGTGTAGACATGCAGGTCCTGGGGAGATGGTTCAGTGGTAAGAGCACTGATGAGAACCTGAGTTTCAAACCCCAACACCACATAAAAGTGGATTATGGTTATGCATGCCTGTAACCCCAGCAGCAGGGAGGGAGAGGCGGGGGGTGTGGTGTGCTGTGGGGTGTGGGGTGTGGGAGGTGGATCTCGAGAGCTTGCTGGCCAGCCCAGCCAAAACAATGAGCTTCTGTTCCGGTTCACTGGGAGATAAGGAAATAAGGCAAAGAATGACAGAAGAAGCCACCTGCCATCCTCCTCTGACCTCCTGATGCATGCTTGCCTGCAGTCATATGCATGTATTGCACGCACTCACATGCTTGGGCTGGCAAGATGTCTCAGCAGGTAAAAATGCTTGGTATGAATACCCATACACTGTGCCCACACCACGGCACATGTGCCCTTGCAAACCTGAGCCCATGCACACACAGAAATAAAAGCTAAAATAAATAAGAAAGAAATTCAGCCAAGAGGCTATAAAGATCCATAACCACACACTCCACCCAGTGACCAGATTGCCTTTCTCATGGGGATCTGACACATGAAGGAGTGAAGCCATACTGCAGAGACCAAAAAGAGTCTCTCATTGAAGGAGCCTAGGCCTAAGGACTGTACACCTCCACAGGGGCCCTTTGGTGGCAGGTACTGGCTAGCTGCCCACCATGTTCATCTCGCTTCCTCCAGGCAGTTCCTGAGCAGCCAGGCCTGGCCCTGTGCTGTGTCATGTGCCATGAGTTCAGCACTTAAGTGAGTGATCCTAAGAGCCTGTGCTGAAGACAGCAACTGGAAGCCGGGACCCTGAGCACCTGACAGTGAGTGATCCTAAGAGCCCGTGCTGAAGACAGCAACTGGAAGCCGGGACCCTGAGCACCTGACAGTGAGTGATCCTAAGAGCCTGTGCTGAAGACAGCAACTGGAAGCCGGGACCCTGAGCACCTGACAGTGAGTGATCCTAAGAGCCCGTGCTGAAGACAGCAACTGGAAGCCGGGACCCTGAGCACCTGACAGTGAGTGATCCTAAGAGCCTGTGCTGAAGACAGCAACTGGAAGCCAGGACCCTGAGCACCTGACAGTGAGTGATCCTAAGAGCCTGTGCTGAAGACAGCAACTGGAAGCCAGGACCCTGAGCACCTGACAGTGAGTGATCCTAAGAGCCTGTGCTGAAGACAGAACCAGAAGCCGGGACCCTGACTGAGCACCTGACAGTGAGTGATCCTAAGAGCCCGTGCTGAAGACAGCAACTGGAAGCCGGGACCCTGAGCACCTGACAGTGAGTGATCCTAAGAGCCTGTGCTGAAGACAGCAACTGGAAGCCGGGACCCTGAGCACCTGACAGTGAGTGATCCTAAGAGCCTGTGCTGAAGACAGCAACTGGAAGCCAGGACCCTGAGCACCTGACAGTGAGTGATCCTAAGAGCCTGTGCTGAAGACAGCAACTGGAAGCCAGGACCCTGAGCACCTGACAGTGAGTGATCCTAAGAGCCTGTGCTGAAGACAGAACCAGAAGCCGGGACCCTGACTGAGCACCTGACAGTGAGTGATCCTAAGAGCCCGTGCTGAAGACAGCAACTGGAAGCCGGGACCCTGAGCACCTGACAGTGAGTGATCCTAAGAGCCTGTGCTGAAGACAGAACCAGAAGCCGGGACCCTGAGCACCTGACAGTGAGTGATCCTAAGAGCCCCTGCTGAAGACAGCAACTGGAAGCCGGGACCCTGAGCACCTGACAGTGAGTGATCCTAAGAGCCTGTGCTGAAGACAGAACCAGAAGCCGGGACCCTGAGCACCTGACAGTGAGTGATCCTAAGAGCCCTTGCTGAAGACAGCAACCGGAAGCCCGGGACCCTGAGCACCCGACAGAGTTCACCTGGAGCTAACCGGAGATGCTCTTGGGATTTCATGTAAATAAGAGGGAACTCTATAATAAGCCCCTAAGCCTTAAACAAACAATGAATGCCACAGCCAAGCGCCGAAGGCCAAAATCTATAAGTAACCTACAGCTATGCCACTATTGCTGCCACATGCTAGCCCCGTGACACGGGATGCTCCTTTACTCCCCATGAGAGGAAAGGTCAAGGAAAGTCCGTTCCCCTTGAGCAATAGCCACAATTTCCTTTTGGAAGACAGTGATCCTGGAGCCAGTTCAGGACCCCAGAACACTGCAGAACCCCTTCACCTAGCCTGCTGTTTCTAGCCCATTTCCTGTGGTCACATTCAAACAACTCTCCACTTTGGGGGTACAGCAATGGGACCCAGGACCATTGCTTCCGGCCCAATCTCTGACAACTCAGGATGTGAGACTTCAGACCAGTTACCTCTCTGAACTGCTTTCCAAGAGTCTAAAATGAGGGCACTGCTGGGCACAGTGACACACACATGTAATCCCAGCTAGGCAGGAAGCTGAGCCAGGAGGGTTGTTCAGCTGTGAGAGTGGCCTGGGCAACGTGATGAAACTCCATTTCAAGACACAAACAAAAAAATTAATCATCCAAGGGTGAAGCTTCAAGAAATGAAGGTCCTCTCTACCCCCTGAATCCAAATTTGTATCTTCACCCCAAATTCTGGGGGGCTCAATGCTTAGAGTAAGTCATGAATCACGTGGACATGCCTCGGACAGCCCTTTTCAAGAGTGCTCTCCACAGATGTTTCCTCAACATCGCAGGACGGTGATACGACAGATCTCAGGCAAATGAAGTGATGGAGGAAGGTCATTGGTTAAAAAAATAAAGAAACTGCTTGGCTGGCCCTCATAGGTTAAAACATAGGTGGGAGGAGTAAACAGAACTGAATGCTGGGAGGAAGAGGAAGTGAGCTCAGAGGCCATGCTCCCCTCTCCCGGGCAGACGCCATGAAGCAAGCTGCCAGGTCAGACATGCTGAATCTTTCCCGGTAAGACTGATGCTACACAGATTATTAGAGATGGGTTGATCGGGATATGAGAATTAGCCTGTAAGGGCTAGAATTAATGGGCCAAGCAGTGTTTAAATGAATACAGTTTGTGTGTTGTTATTTCGGGGCATAAGCTAACCAGGCAGCTGGGAGCTGGGTGGCAGGAAAGCAGCCCGCAGCTCCTACAACAATGAAGAAGCCAGCTAAGGCCACGCAGTTGATAGGAAGTAGATCTGGCTGTGACCCGGGAGCTGTTACCCATGCTGCATCTCAACATACTGGACAGCCTTGCTGATGGCTTCAGCTTCTATTCCGCTCTCGTGTGTGGCTGTGATTGCAGGAGTGAGGATGAGAGGAAGTCAAAAGAAACAAAACAAGGCCATCCTCAGCTCACCCTATCAGCCACGTGTGCAACAACCAGGATGGAAGAAACAGGGATGGGCACATAGCAACCGACCGGCTGCTGACCAGAAGAAGAGTTCCCCCTGAAGACTATCCCACAATTCCAGGTGTTGTGACTATCCTCGGAGCCAGGCAACTCTCTGGGGGGGGGTTCAGCTGTGCCCCCTTGGAAATGGGTCATCTCAGCTAAGTTTGTTGACTGTTTATGCCCACCATGGAGGGGTGGGGATGGTCATGAGACCCTCACCTGAGTATCCAGCACTCCTTACCACTTGCTGTATGTAAATTGCCTTAATTACATGTGGCCTAGGGGAGGGACTAGCATATATAGGCCTGGGAAGACTAGGGTACAGTGTGGGGTGGGGCCCATCTATGGGTCTATGTGATGAGCCCTCATCCTTTCTAGGTGTGGCCTGTTGGGGGGAAAGCAGCACCCACAGCACTGTAAGTAGCCCCTCACCTAAAAAAACAAAAACAAAAAAACAACCAACTGACTGGCTCTCCAGAGTAAACTTTGGCAGAATTGTTCTTCAGTTCCTCACTGGGACATTAGGACATAAGCAGGGGTGGATGTTGCTTATGCCTCAACCTGGGAAAGAATTCTAGCAGCACCAGGTTAAGCACAATCTACTTTAGAACATTATAATTTTGATCTATTTTTAATTTTTTATTATCTGGATGTTTTGGCTGCATGTGTTTTTGTGCTCCACGTGTGTGCTTGGTGCCCAGCAGAGGCTCAAGAGGAAGTAAGATTCTCTGGAACTGGAGTCACAGATGGGTGTTATCTGCCATGTGTGTGCTGGGAATAAACCCAGTTTCTCCTCCATTCCAGGCCTCTTCAGTCACTGGTAAGACAGCACTCAGAGAGTCTCACTAAACCAGGTCACTTCAAAGATTTTTCATTTGTCCAAATCCAAGACCCAGGCCCAGCCTGAGCCCCTCAAGACCCATGTTCTCCACACTCTTACCTCTGTGTAGTTCCTGAGACTGGCCTTTGCCTCTGTGCTAGCTGTTTGCTCTGCCCAGCAAGCCCTTCCCAGATACAACTCTCTCTCTCTCATATGCTCACAGCCCTTCCCAGATACAACTCTCTCTCATATGCTCACAGCCCCCAGGGGATCCCTGCGGAGGCAGTGACATGAAGTTCCCATGAGCCTGCACACCAGGATCCAAAGCCTGGAAATGACTGGTCCTGGAAACCACTAAGGCACATGACCATGACCGTTCCTCTCCACGGGAGTGATGAGCACCGGGACACAGAACAGCAAAGGCTGCCACGAGGAATGAGTGTACAGCGCCACACTGAGAGTGTGTTCAACAGATGACAGCTGGGGCCATCATCGCAACTCCAGGACTCTTCTCATTTGGGGGATGAGGCAAGCGAAGCTGCAAGGACACAGCTGACCAAAATCACACAAGACCATGCCTGAGGTGCAGTCAGCAGGTTCAACGGAACTCTCGTCTGTGGTAAGAAAAGCCTGCGTCTGCTTGTAGCTTCCTCAACATACTGCCTTCTCACTCTGTGGACTTAACCCATCCCATCCAAATACCCAGCATTTCTATTCAAATCATCAACAGCACAGATGGCTAGCCCACCCTCCCAGGCAAAATGTGCTGACCCTGTCCTCGGATCTGTCACACACATACATACATACATACACCCCCCCCTCCCCAAGAGCTACTCACACAGATCTGTTCCGTACTTGAGCCCCACTTTGGGCACCCAGCCTTTGCTTCGGAAGTAGTGGTAGGCCATGTAGGTAGTCCTGAAGGTGGGCTGGACCGCGGTGAAGGCTTGCCAGAGCTTTACTATCGTTAAAGGCTCCTAGAGTTATTGTTTGAAGAAAAGACATTAGTTTGTGTGTCTTCACTCCCACTCGGTAAGCGAGTATACATCTAGACTAGCACGATACCACAGCAGCAATGGAGGCAAACAAGAGGGGTTTCATTCAGGAGACCTGACCCACACTGACTATACGACAGCAACCACTATGTATGGCTCCTCGTAACACAGGTGCTACTGTGAGGTCTAGCTCAAACAAGAGAAAGCAACATGAGCAACCTTGGTAATTTGGGTCATGTTAATTTAATCACACTTTTTCCCCTTCAGTGCTGGGTGTGCAAAACAGGTCTTGTGAGCACTTAGGCATGTGCTCTACCACTGAGCTACAGCCCAGCCATCCTACATATGTGCAGTTAAAAAAGCTATGCACATATTCTCAGAATTGTTTTTGTGGGTGTGGCGATAGTTTTTTTTTGAGACAGAGTCTCACAGCTGTAGCCCAGACTAGCCTTGTACTTGCAGTCTTGTGTCTGCCTCCCATGGACTACCAGAAAAGTCTCCAACGTGTGGGAAGTCCTTCTGTCTATGTATTTATTGCTTTTATTGGTTAATGAATAAAGAAGCTGCTTTCTGCCAATGGCTTAACAGAATATAACTAGACTGGAAGATCATATATATATATATATATACACACACACACACACACACACACACACACACACACACACAGAGTCAGGAGCCGCCATGGAGCCGCCAGAGGAGGAACCTTGCTGGTAAGCCACAACCACGTGACAATACACAGAATAATAGAAATGGGTTAGTTTAGGATAAATGAAATTAGTTTAGTTATATAAGAGCGAGCCAATAAAAAGCTAGAGTTAATAGGCCAAACAGTGATTTAATTAATGCAGTTTCTGTGTGATTATTTTGAGTCTGGGAAGCCAGGAATGAACAAGCAGCTTCCAACAACAAATTGGAGCTCCCTGTGTCGACTATATCCACATAAAACCTGAGAAAGCTTAAAAAGGAATTCTAGATTCAAAAGAAGAGAGTTAGACATGGCTTTTTGGTAGCATCTTCTCAGGTGGGTCTCTTTGCTAGAAGCAAGCAGAGATGCGAATCTTTTAAGAGAAGGCTTCTTGGCTCACGTAGCAGCAAAAATTGCACAGCTTCTTTAAAAAACAGTGGCCTCCCGGTTTGCCCGCACAAATGGCTCTGACTCTTTCAGGAGGTCCTGATGCGGAGAATTTAATGAGGTTTGTGAGCAGAGTGCTACAACTTGCCTAAAAATGGGGCAAGGTACATGGCTCTCAGAGGCAGCAAACATGCCTCTGCCATGTTGGACTGGGTGGAGCAAGCAGGCAGGGCCGTGTTGGCCCTAGCCATGCCTGCTTAGCATTTAAAAAAGGGGGCACTTCTGGTCAAAAGATAATTATAGATATGCAATAAAGATGAATTCAGATGGAAAAGACCTCTAAATGGGTGGCAGTGTTGGATAAATGTACATAGGCTTGGGAGAGAGAAGAAAAAGAGTATAGGGAGTTATAAAAAGAAGCAAACCATTTAAAAAATAAAAACAAAGTTTTTAGAGAGACAGAGTACAGACAGTCATAGATTAAAAAAATAAAAATAAGTAATGTAAAGATGGATTACGTATATTATTGTGTTTTCTTTGAATTTTTTGACAGTGAAGGAACTAAGTACAGAGAGATATTTCACTGTACTGGCTGCTAAGCTAAACCAACATATATCTTAAACGTATTACAACTTCAGAATTTGGGTCTAAGGATTTGCTGCTTTGGAAAAAAGGTTCTTCCTTTGTTTCCACAGATGAGAACCTATGGATTCCTTCCAGACTAATGTGGTTTGACGGACCAAGACCCCCCCTCAAAGGTCGCCGTGAATGCCCCCCCCCCAAATTACTTTGCCAAATAAACAGTCGGAAGTAGTTTGGAGAGAACTACGTCCAAATTCCCAAATATTGTTTATAAATGTTTGTTTACATTTAAAGGGGGATATATAGATATGAATACTTTGCATTGGTATGGATCTTGGTCTACCGATACAAATTTTAGATCAATTTTGTTATATGTATATTTTTGCTCTTGATTAAGGTACTGTGTGTTGCAGCTCATTTAAAAATTCAATGTAAAAGCCGGGCGGTGGTGGCGCACGCCTTTAATCCCAGCACTCGGGAGGCAGAGGCAGGCGGATCTCTGTGAGTTCGAGACCAGCCTGGTCTACAAGAGCTAGTTCCAGGACAGGCTCCAAAACCACAGAGAAACCCTGTCTCGAAAAACCAAAAAAAAAAAAAAAAAAGAAAAATTCAATGTAAAATAAAAAAAATCTTTTTTAAAAACAAGGGCTGGAGAGATGGCTCATGGGTTAAGAGCACTGGCTGCTCTTCCAGAGGTCCTGAGTTCAATTCCCAGCACCCACATGGTGGCTCACAACCATCTATAATAAGATTTGGTGCCCTCTTCTGGACATGCAGGACCCACAGAGAAATGACTGCTGAACTTGCTTAAAGGTGAGACAATCTTTCAGGGTCTCTGCTTCATGAAAGAGTCTGCTAGACATTCTGCAGGACACAGAAGAAAGTGACTGACAAACTGCCAATATAGGTGGAACCGTCTTTGAAAATCCTGCTTCATGGAAAAGTCTGCTGTATACTATGGGCCTGTAGGCTGAATATGGGATGCCCCATCATTACAGAAGAACTTTGGGTGACTGTCCAGGCAGCAAGATGTCTCTGTCAATTTTAGAACTTTGGAAGTTGCTTACAATGAACTTTCTGTTAACTTAGGTAATATTATATCCTTCTGGAATCTTTGATGGAATTGGAGAATTTATAATTATAGTTAGTTTTCCTTAGTTATGATAAAAGATAAAATAGATATAAATATTGTAACTGTAATTCTTGCTTAATAACTTTTGTTATATGTAATTTTACTATGTTAAAGTTAAAAATCTTCCTTTTCACTTAAACAGAAAAGGGGAAATGATGTGGGAGGTCTTTCTATGTGTTGCTTTTATTGGTTAATGAATAAAGATGCTGCTTTCGGCTAATGGCTTAACAGAATACAGCCAGTCTGGAAGATATATATATACACACACATACATACATACACACATATATGTACATGGAGTAGGAAGAGGAGAAAGATGCAAGCCACCAGCCAGAACCTTGCCAGTAAGCCACAGCCATGTAGTAATACACTGATGAATGGAAATGGGTTAATTGTAGATATAAGAGCTAGCTAGCTAGCAATACGCTTAAGTTATTGGCCAAAGAGTATAGTTATTGAGTGATTATTTAGTGGTCTGGGAATGAACAAGCGGCCTTCGCCAACATTAGAGAACCCAGGAAAGGAAATGCTGAGGCCAGGGTGCAGCTTAGTGATGGAGCATGGGCTCAGCACACATATGTTCCAGGCTCCATCCTTGGGAGAGGGTGAGGGAAAGGAATGAGTGTTCTGGTGGAAGCACCACCCCAGCCCCTGGCATCCATATACCCAAAAGTCTGGAATATTCTGGTGGAAGCTTCACCTCAAGCCCTTTCCCCCATCTCTCTCCGAACCCTGCTGCATCTCAGGAAACCCGCCAAATGATGACCCCTCCCCTAAAGAGGTTCAAGACCATTCCCACAGGGTATTTAAACTGCCCCCCAGAATACAGACATGTGGATTTTGTTGGTCTCTTCCCTGAAAATCATCTAGGAGAATTTTACCCATTAAACATGGGCTTTTTCTAATTCAATTTGATTTGGTTTGATTTGTATTGCTGTGTTGTTGGAGAGGCTTATAGGGTGCAAAAACTTTTCAATGAGAAACAGCAAAGGTCAAGGGGTCAGAGGCCATGCATAAAGGTGGGGATCTGGGTAATGACATTCTGGGCAAAGGAACCAGCATGTAGTGTTGAGCTCCAGTGCAACAAGCCCACTGGAGTGTGTTAGCATACATGGTCCTTTAGTGAGCAGCTACTGCAACGCCAGGCCAGGTGTGGGAGAGTAAAAAATAATTCTCTAAGTGAAAGTTTCATTCAAGACTCAAAGATGATTCCTGGCTCCATCTCAGCTTTCAGACAGGAGAATGGCCACCTGATGGTGCAGTCTGATATCCCAGCTGTGGGCACAGCAAGCTGTATAGCGCTAACCTGGCTGTGTTCAGGCCACCTGAGGGTGTAGCATAACCCAGCTGTGTCCAGAAAGGAGACTTGAACAGAATAAGACTGCTTTTCAGGTTCCTTCAGAAAACAGTCACGAGTAACTGGATGGGTTTGGAAAGTGCCTTTCCTGATTCTATTGCTTGGGAAAGATTAACCCTTCAGCTGGCTGGGCCACGGCTCACTGACAGAGCATGTGCATAGTATCAACAAGGCCTTGGACTCCGTCCCTAGGTCACAAATAGCTCTTATAAACACCTTGGGTTAGTTTCTGTTCCTGTATGTGTGGCTTCAATTCCTCACTAAGTCTCCCTAAGAAGGTGGAGTCCTAGCAGGGTGCCTGGGGATCCCTAAGAAGCAGACACAAGCACTTCCTCTGCTGTCTGTCTCCCTTCTTCTTTCTCGTATCTTACATACTTTGAATAGGCATGACATCAAGGAAAAAAAAGGACAAAGGATGTCCAGTGACAGGCCACCCCCTTTCATCTGCCTAGAGGTCAGCAAGGACAACGCCCTGGCCAAGGTGAAACCAGACTTTGAAGTCACCCAGGTATGGGTTAACCAGCTGATTCTAACCACACTAGCCAGGAGGCCTTGGCTGAGCACTGGTCCAGTCTCAGCATTTGCATGGCAGCGTAACTGTCTGTGCTCCAGTTCCAGGAGACAAAGGCTCTCTCTGGACTCTGTGGACCAAACACGAATGGGCTGCACAAACATACAGGCAAAATGCCTATACACATAAAAAAATCAAACAAACAAAAACAAAACCAAAATATAAAAAATCCAAACAAACAAAAACCATTGAATTTAAAGGGTTCCTATACATACATGTGTAGGAACCACACATGGGTGACTTTGATTATTCTTCCAGTGCTGGGGATGGAACAAGGTCTCAAACATGCCGAGCAGGCTCTCTGCTCCTGAGCTGCTCCCAGCCTGCAGAGCTTTACTTTTTGCTGGTGATTTTAGTAGCATCCTTGCACTTCCCACAGGTCCTGAGAAAGACACACTCTGAAAGGTTCACCCTGGCTTGTGCCTGAACTGCTCCAGCTGAGGCCCCAAACCCAAAACTTACAGGAAAAAGATAATTCCTACTTTTTTTCAGTCAAAGTTGACACATTTGTGCTACAGCTCCATGGGAAGGGGCTCAACCTACTGTCAACAGGGGAACTGTGAGATTATATGCATACAGAAACTTACCTTCTCATAGTAAATACTTAAACATCCCAGGGCGTATGCCAGGAAGAAAGCCTACAACAGAGCAGGGGAGTTCCCATTAGAAGCAGTCTTTTAGGGTGGGCAGGTAAGCAACCGCCTTGCATGCCCATGGTTCACCCCAGCATCACCCAACAGAAATAAAAATAGCTTTCTGATGAAGCCAACATGCTTTCAAATGCTGATCCAATCCCAACAGCTACATGTGGTGGCTTTTATCCCAGGCAGTCAGGATTTACTATGGTCCTCAGGTCTCAGGTGCCCCGGAGATGGGGTGGTAGTGACACTGGCTTACTTTGTGTTTTACTGACACTGGTGCTGCAGACTGAGGACCTCCTCCTGCATGGCTGAACTTCCCTACCAAACAATATCCCAGTCTGACTTTCCTAACATCAAAGTATTTGAAAAGGCATGAGACACGCTGCCCATAAATAATTACAGAGTCCCTGCCTCCAGGTTCAGGGCAGGAGGGCCCTGGAGTACAAACAGGACTTGGCTTTTTTCCTCACTGTCCCCTCTTGTACTAACCTGGGGTACGTGTAGCAACAAAGGGCCAGAAAGCTGAAAGGTGAATTAGTGTAGCCCCTCAGTGACCTCCTTCAAACCACCCAGAGCCACTGGGCTGATGCTCTCCAGAGCTGTAGCTCTCCAAGGCTGTCTGCAGGTCTTAGATCTTAAACTCAAAAAGCTATCTGCCTCATTCGTGTTCCTGCTAGGTGGGGGGACACAGGTAGGGGCAGAAAAGCCCTGCCTCATTCGTGTTCCTGCTAGGTGGGGGGACACAGGTAGGGGCAGAAAAGCCCTGCCTCATTCGTGTTCCTGCTAGGTGGGGGGACACAGGTAGGGGCAGAAAAGCCCTGCCTCATTCGTGTTCCTGCTAGGTGGGGGGACACAGGTAGAGGCAGAAAAGCCCTGCCTCATTCGTGTTCCTGCTAGGTGGGGGGACACAGGTAGAGGCAGAAAAGCCCAAAGCCTCTGGTGAGACCATGGCAGAGCCCATCACAACCAGACCTCACGGTGATTGCAAAACAGTAGCAGTATTCTCACTCATTTGGAAAATGTTGTGGAATATTAGTTTAAAAATGTGTTACACTCCTTTATGCTGTGGGATATTTGTTTAATATGCAAAGATGTGCTGCATTCTAATGTTGCATTTGTTTAACTCTGCGAAGCTGTGTTACTGTGCCTGTCTAAAACATGCGATTGGTCTAATATAGAGCTGACTGGTCAATAGTGAGGCAGGAGAAAGAAACAGACAGGGCTGCCAGGCAGAGAAAAGAAATCGAAAAGAAGGAGAAGAGGGAGTAACAGAGAAAGGAGAGGAAGACGTCTGGGCAGCCACCCAGCCAGCCATGGAGTAAGAGGAAAGGAAGGAACATAGACCAGAGAAAGGTAAAAGCCCAGAGGCAAGAGGTAAATGGGATGATTTAAGTTAAGAAAAGCTGACTGGAAGTAAGTCAAGCTAAGGCTGGGTATTTATAAGTGATAATAAGTCTCCGTGCACTCATTTGGGAGCTGGGTGGTGGCCCCAAAGAGCAAAGTGTAAAAAGAGTCAAACACTAACCACAGGGAAACAGTTATTCTCATAGAAATATTGTTCAGAGCAGGCATGGTATCTCAGTCCTGCTCTTGGAATACGCCCAGCCCTTCCACTCTGGCTGTCTACCATGTTAAAGGCCCTTTCCTCACCATAGGCTCAAGCAACTCTTCTGCCTGTCTCCTCCAGAGTGCTTGCTTTTGTCTGGAAATGTCTTTCGCCCATGGATGTCTCTGAGGAGAAGATCACAGCAGGCAGAGCAGCCTGAGGCTGTCCCTCAGCCTCTAAGAGTGTCTCGCTTCCCTTTGGTGAGGGTTCAGTGCTTGTGCTAAAAGAATGAAAGGTACCCCGACTCCTGCCTTGGCTTAGGTCCAGGCAGTTAGATCCACTGGGTGTTCTGCACCTGCTGGGCTTGCTTTCCAGGGGCCTACCTGTCCTGAGGGCTGGTTCTTTCTGCTGCCCATGGCCCCACAGGCCCCACAGGCTCGTCTTGCTTTCCAGGGGCCAACCCATCCCAAGGCTGCTCCGGTCCTCTTAGTGCTACCCACAGACCCACAGGCCCCACAACCTTGTCTTGGCCTCACCCTTGTCTTCACCTTTATTACTACTGAACACCGCAGTTTTTGGATGGACCAGGTGACCAGAAACACAATGGAAAAGATAAAGCTGTCGCCCCAGATGATAAGTTCCCTTAATTTTTTTTTTTTTTTTTTTTTTGCCAAATTTGTATTTCTTGGTTTAGAAAGGTGAAAAAGAAAAAAAAAGGTCTGCCTCAGAGGATCAGAGTGGAGATGGAATAAGGTCTAGCAGACCTGGGTTCAAGCTTTCATTGAGGTGGTTTAAATTGCTTTTATTTTCAACTGTTATTTTATGCATATGGGTATTTTGCCTGTATGTATGTATTTAAGTGTATCACGTGTGTTCCAGGAATCCAAGGAAGCAGGAAGGGGGCATCAGATTTCCAGGAACTGGAGCCACCATGTGGGTAATAGGAACAGAGCTTGGGTCCTCCTGAGGATAAGAGCCAGTGCCCTTAATCCTTATCTCTTCCATCTCCCTGAGGTGTTTCTATTTGGAGTCAGATCCTCATGAGACAGGAGAGGGAGGTCTGCGAAGCTGGCATCACCAGCAAGCTTCTTCCCCTTTTGGGTGCTCAGTGGAAGTGAACCTGATGACAGTTTTCCCATCATAGGGCTTACTCAGGTCAGGGCTCACAGCACTGGAAAGCCAGTTCTCAAAGGCAGACCTCTCCAAAGCTATGGAGCAGCCTGGCTCAATGATCACATGACTCCTTAATGGAAGACGAGAGAGAGAGAGAGAGAGAGAGAGAGAGAGAGAGAGAGAGAGAGAAAGAGAGAGAGAACAGAATCAGCCAAGTGGTAGTTAGCCGTGAGCATGGCTCAAGAGCCCGTCAGGGAAGACGCTGGCTGTGGAAGATGCTATCTGTGTTACAGCTGTCAGCGTCCAACAGAGGGACAGGCAAAAGCCTCTCAGGTGATGCAGTCACTGTGAATTCTTAATTTATGATGGCATCAATAATTTAGAGAGAAGAGAACTTGCTGTGGGGGAGGGAATGTGGGCTACCAAAGAGTCAGGAACTGCCGCCAGGAAGGACGTGCGCAAGGGCCTTGCATTTGCGTTAAGTTAATGTGATATTTGATACTGAACATGAACTCAAAGAGAATTGTTAGCTCAGCAAGCAGAAGGGAGCCCATCTGAAAGACCCACCCCTTCCTTAAGCTTTCCCTTCGCAAGCCACACCCTTCTACAAGCTACAGTCGAACCAAATTTTGCTGGAGCTCATTTTTAAATTAAGAGGAAAGACAAACAAACAAACAAACAAACGAACGAACCTGTCATTTTGTGCCAGGCCAACAGAGAGAATCAGAAGCTAAACTGGGGCCAAGTCCACCAGGATGCACCATCCCGGTGAGAGATGCACTCATCGCTTCATGCCTTCCAGGACAGGCACCTGACACATGCCATATCTCATCTGACTTTCACTATGACCCTCTCAGGGAAACATCCCGGAATGTTACCATCCGAAAACCAAAGGGATGCTACCTCTTGTGTGCTATGTTGATGAGGTCAGCATTTTCTCCCTACTTACCTTTTCTGTCTTTTGAGACAGGGTTTCACTGTGTATCCCTGTCTGTCCTGGAACTTGATATATACACCAAGCTGACCTGGAATTCACAGACATCCCTCTGCTTCTGCCTCCCAGTGCTGGGATTAAAGGTGTGAGCTACCTTGCTCAGAACCATTTATCTTTGTCTATTAGTTCACTTCTATCTTTAACACAGCGGGGAAAAAACCCAGGGCTGCAGGCATGCTAAGCAAATGCCGTGCCACGGAGGTATGATCCCAATCACCATCATCTCCGTGCCACGGAGGTATGATCCCAATCACCGTCATCTTACTTATTGCCATCTATCACTGGCAGTTCCCAGCAAATGCTTCAGAGTTCAGGCTATAGAGTCAGAGGGCTGAGGTCCAAGTACTGATCTTGAGCAAGGAACTTAACCAACCTGAGGTTCAGTTTCTTCCCCATCAGAGAGCTCACAACAGGATCTAGGGCTGTATGAGGACTCGAGATAATACAAATAGGTCCTTAGCAGAGACACTGAGACCAGCACACACACTATTCCATTGTTCTCATTATGTGTGACTTCCTCTTGAGCCCTGGAGCTGAGCCCACATAATCATGGGCCAATGAGCACCCCTGTGGATGTTCCCTCTTCCATGAAATGGAACAAGCACAGTGCAACCCCGTATCTGGAGCGGATGATGCAGGTGAGGCAGACGGGGTAGGTGCTGCACAGGAGCTCCCTTCCCCGTCCCAACTGCAGATCCCCAGAAGAACAGGGAGGATGAGGTCTTTTTCCTGCTCACATCTCCAGCATTCTTTCGGAAATGCTGGCCGAACAAAAGACCACAAAGGGAGGGACACACCCCTGCTGGCGTCATTCCCCCCAAGGCCCCACCAGCTTCCCTTTTCCCAACAGCCAGTCACAGGGTTTACAAGGAGGCTCTCACCACCTAAGGATGGTTACTGTGTGCAAAGGATAGAGAAATCATGGTACACACGAACAATGGGATTTCATTCGACCAGAAAGAAAAATGAAACGATACATTTGCAGGAAAATGGAGATTACTGTGTGAAGCGAAATCAGCCTGCCTCAGAAGGCCAAATTCTGCAGCCCCCCCCTCATCAAATGTAGACTCTGTATCTACATTTGCGTGTGTTAGCATAACACGAGAAAGGATGCTGGAGTGAGAAGAAGCTAAGATCTTCCAGGGGGTGGACAGGAAAGAAAAGAAGGTAATGGGATCCAGGTGAGAGCAGGGGGTGTTTATCTGAGGGCAGTAAGGGGACAAAGGGCGGGGTAAAGGAGTGAAGGGGCAATGAGATGAGAACAGAAATAAAATATATCGACACACATGTATGAACATAATGAAGCATACTTTGTACGCTAACTTAAATTTTTAAGTAAAAAAACCAAACCCAAATCTATGTGAAACAGCTGGCCTTCAACTCCTGATCCTTTTGCCTCCACTTCCCAAGCACTAAGACTACAGGCATGTGCCACCATGCCTGGCACCTCTTTCTTTAACTGCCCTGAGCTGTATACACTAGGAGGCAGGATCGCAGGTCTCTTTCCACATAGTTAAGGAGCTGCCCAACACTGCGGATCCATTGTCTTTTCTTCACTAACAGGAAATGAGATTTTTACTAAATACTGATTTCCCGTCTACATACAGGTGGTCTGCTTTAGTCTCTTTGGGCCAATCTTTTCATTCTTAAACTTTTAATTATTCTAACCTTATGTCTTTTACTACCAGCTACAAAGAAGTTTGTTGTTTCAACTGTTTTGTTCTTGGGCTGGGTAGGTCAGTGCCTCCTCTTGCCTAGCTTACACGAAAGCCTGGTTTGGCCCCAGCAGCAGCAGCTGCAGCAGCAGCAGCAGCAGCAGCAGCAGCAGCAGCAGCAGCAGCAGCAGCAGCACTTTCTCATGATTCCAAAAGAAGTTTAAGAACCAACGCCAGGGAGAGCTGATTCTCTCTTTTTCCTGCTGGTTCACAAGCATGGTCTGAACCAAGCAGATCCTCAGTGCCACTCAGGGGAATATATTAAGGCCATGCATATACTGTGAAGCTGGCCTTAAATATGGCGAAGGAGGAAAATCCGAGCTCTCAAAAAAGTCATTCAGGCCGGGCGGTGGTGGCGCATGCACTAGGGAGGCAGAGGCAGGCTGCCTAGTTCAAGGCCAGACTGGTCTATAGAGTGAGTTTCAGGACAGCCAGGATCACACATAGAAACCCTGTCTCAAAAATGCAAAAAACAAAAAAACAAAACCCCGACAATCAAAAGGTTGTGGTGAAAGTAATTTTACAGTTAGGATCAGTATTTTAATAGTAATAAAAGTGATCACAAATTTCTGTGTGGAATTGTAGTTACTCAAATCAATGGAGTGTGATGCTGGCTCATTTTGTTTTTGTACCGGTCTCCCTGTCCAGGAAACTAAAAATGTTGTATGCAGCATCCAGCACAGAGGTCACACGCGCCTGTTGGTACAAAGGGATGTGGCCGGGGCAACTAGATAATGGAAATTTGAACTTATTCAAGTTTAATTAGTTTAAACTGAAACAGTCACATGAGGCCAGTGGCTACTGAGTTTCAAGGTACACCATCAGCCTCAGGGGAAAAAAAAAAAGGATAAGGTGATGTCCCCCAACAGCCTCCCCACTCAGATCTCTATCACTGGCCTTCCTGCAAGGAAGAGAAGCACGGTCCAGGGAAGGGAGGGTTAGACACAGCCCTGGACGGACCACCGGGGATGAACACAACACACTCTCCGGCCAGAGACCTACATGTCTGTCACTAGCTGTGGAGAAGGGAAGGGCCCACTGCCTCCCACAGCAGAAAGACAGCTGTGTGCAGAGGAATGGGAGCAAGAAGGGAGCGTTTCAACCACATGGGATCACAAGCTAGAGGAAGACATCAGAGGGGCAGTGTGAGGTCATTTTTTGGAGAACACTTCAGAACGTAGCTAATTCACTGAGGGGAGCACGCTAAGTGATTCTACAGATGGAAATGCCTAGAACCAACTCACTCAGCAGGAAGTACGTGATCAGATTCACACAGCATATTAAAAACAGTAGGTTCTGCAATTTAAAAAACTCTAATTCTCTCTCATTTTTTTTTTTATTTTGAAAGAGTATGAATTTAAATTTCTGGGCTCAAATGATCACCCATCTTCAGCCTCCCAAGTAACTAGGACCACAGGTACATGTGGCCACACCAGGTAGACACCAGGTATTTTTATTTATTTATTTTTTTCAGTACTGGGGATTGATGCAGGCAGGTACTTGGCCAATGACCTTTGTTGCCAGCCTGGGTTACACACTTCAAATGAAAGAACAGTTATTCTAATTAGATCTTAATAAAGAGGAATTTTTAAAAAGCTGATGAAAATTAGCTGGGCATGAACACACACCTTCAATCCCAGTACTCAGGAGGCTGTCGAGGGGATCTGTGTGTTTGAGGCCAACTGTCTATATAATGAGTGTTTGGACAGCCAGAGTTATGCCATGAAACAAACAAACAGAACAGAACAGAAAATCCTGACAATATTCCGAAACCTTGAGGAGAAAAGAAGAACTCAAGTTGGGTGTGGTGGTACATACCCAAATCTTAGGACGCCAAGGCAGGAAGGCTGTGAATTTAGGCTAGCCTGGGCTATGTAGCAATAAGCTATCTAAAAAAAGGAAGAATGAGGAGGAGGAAAAAGAGGGGGAGAAGAGAGATAAGGGAGGAGAGGGAGGTCTCATACAAACTCCTTAAATGTTCAATTCTCCTATTCTTTCCTGGCTGAGGGTCTGAACCAGGGGCTCTCACACCATTTCAGTGATTTCTGTGAGCTATAGCCAAACTCCAACACTCTCAGAGCCAAGGGAAGAGGCTGAGGACCAGCATCCAGGCAGGTATTTCAACATTTAGCATTCTATGCAGAACCGCTCTCTGAGGAGGGTTCAGATGCACAGCGCACAGGGCGAGACTCACCCAGGGCTGAGACAGCGAAATACATACATACCTCTTCTAGGCTGAGCTGCAGGTATTCAAAGATCCTGTATGGGTTTCTCCTGCACACCAGTCTCTTTTTTTGAAGCAACTACAAGGAAGGAAGGAAGGAAGAGAATCAACCACCTGCACACAGGTGAGCACCACCTGTCACGAAGACTGAATCCACAAACAAACACTTCATACACACAATGCTGACACACTGCTGTGTAAAACAACCTTCGTGGAAAAGGAGGGTCTGGTTTTTCTGCTGCTAACACTACCCCATGGATTGTCCCCGCAGATGTGACAACTCCACAGCTGAACAGTGTCTCCCACTCCTAAGCTGTGTACCTGTTCTTAGATGTCAAAATCTTCATCCTCTTAGCTGTACCCAAGATCAGGCAATTACACTGTGTTTCTTCTCCCAAACAAGACACAGAGAATTACTTGTTTTAACTTAGTTGTAAAAAATTTTGTTTAAAATTTGAATTTAGTGGAAACTGTCCTCACAACTGCCGTGCAACAGGGGCTGGGCTTCAGTGGTGGCCTCAGCAGCACCATACGGGCCCAGAGTGACAGCAGGCACCCAGTGGGCAGACATCTGCTGGCCAGCAGCAGGTGGCTGTGGGGGAATGACGGACAGTCTCGTATCTCGAGGGGACATGCCCCCAAAGTCCTGGGGGATGCTGCAATAGTGGGTAGCACTGACCCCACTGCTATACCCTACCTATCCGCATCCAGTCACAGCCAAGTCTGTGTCAGTGAGGGACTAACAGTGACGGAGAGCAAAGGAGGGGGAGCTGAAATGGAGGCGGACTCTCTCTTTACAAAGCCAAGACCGACAGCAGCGTTCTCAGACTGGCCGATGGTCACTGATGCCCAGATGAGGGAGCATGGCACTTTGTTCTACATACCTTCTCATCTGAGGCCTCCTCCTCCTGGACATCACACAGCTCTTCCTCAACGAGCACATACTCGTGAGCAGCCTTTTGCTTTCCTGCTGCCTGGCTGCTGTCTTCAGGCCAAATGCCAACCTGGCAGGGGACCTGGGGCAGAACTGTGGTGTCCTCTATCACATGTCCATTAAGGCTAGACAGACTAGCCATAGTGAGTGTGGCATGGCCAGGCCCCTGTAGGCTGTCCGAGTGTGTGCTGAGACCCTCACCATCTGATGGTCCAGCATCTCCAGTGGTCATAGAGAGTTTGTCCTTTCCCACTCTGCCTTCCAGGGAGGAGCTGGCCTCGGAGTTGAGTGGAACACGCTGTGGGGCCTCTTCTTTCCCCTTTCTGCAAGGAGGCTCAAGTGGTTCTGTGTAGTCTCTAAGGATCTTCTGCAGAGTGCTCTCATCCTGGCCCTGTCTACGCATGAAGTCCATGGCCCATTCCACTCGATGCTGATACCTGCCAACAGAAACACCAGCAATAACACACCCGTCTCAACTCTAAGACAACAAAATGACCAAGAAGCCTACAAGATGGCCTGTGAAGATGTTGAGTATTCCTGACCGGTGGATTACAGGTAGAGCTTGCCTCCTTCACATTCTCCCACATCTAACTGTCCAGCAACAAGCATGTATCACTGGCCCTTTGATATCATTTGCTTACTTTAACAGAATTAACCCCCATTTAACAAAGTGTGAAAATTTATGTAATTTAAAACCAAGAGACGCTGGTAAATAAGGCAGAGAAAATATCACCTTTTACTGGGATCCATCTTGACTTATTTTTAATCTTGGTTATCACATTGTTCCTTAAGGCACCCCTTTCATAGTATAGACCCTTCGTTTATAGCACTGGAACGTGAATTTGAATCACTGTTTTTCACAGCATCCAAGAACATCACTGGATATGGAAAGAAATGATTTGCCTTATATACGGCTCGACTTTGCTTTCTGTTGAAATGAAACACTTTGACCAAAGGCAACTTGGGGAGAATGGGGTTTATTTCACCTTAGAGCTTACAGGCTCCATGAGGAAGCTGGGGCAGGAGCTCCAGGCAGGACCCGGAGGCAGGAGTGGAAGGAAAGGCTGTGCAGCAACTTTGTTTACCAGCAGCTCACTCTCTAGCCCGGGGTCAGCTAGCTTTCCTATACAGCTCAGGCCCACCTGCATAGGGATGGCACCACCCACTGTGGTCTAGACCCTCCCCCATCAGTTGAGAAAATGCCCTGTAGACTATTCTGACAGAAGCCACCAACTGAGGTTTCCTCTTCCCATGTGTCAAGCTGACATTCAAGATTAGCCACCACTAATTATAAATTCCCCATAAGAATCTTGAGAGTATAGTAACATATTAAATTTATACACTCCGAGGGCTGAGCACTCACCAAAGTACAAAAGACTATGGTGAAGACAACAGTACTGTATCAGGACATTGCTGGTTTGCGTTCCTGTGACATCAGAACCTGCTGCAAACCAAAGACCAGCAGAAGGCTGACCACAGCAGCCAACATCCATGGCTCTGCCCTCTACCAAGAAGACACATGTAATTTCATTCCTCCCCTTATTACACCTGTGTTCAGATGCCTGGATATATCAAGGTGCAGGAACTGTCGAGCCTCATACGATCCAGCAGGCAAATTGTCTTTTGCACCTAGAAAGACCTGTGCATGCTTCCCCTTGGCTCATCAGAACCCCAAGCTGTTCACATTGGTCTTCCTACACGTGGATGACCATACACCCCTGCCGGTGGCCATGTCAGAGGAACAGCAGGTGGCAATGGAAGTTTATGGTGTTGGTGTAGGGTAAAAGGGACAACTGGAGCAGGAAACCAACCAATCACTGAGCACCCTGACTCTAAACCCAGAGCCAGTGAAAGAAACATCTTTATCCCTGAACTCAGAACTAAAGACACGTGCCCTGGCTCTGAAACTAGTGTCACAGAAACACACTTTGTCCCTAGAATTAGAGCCAGTGAAAGAAATATGTCCTGGTCCTAAGATTAAAGTCAAAAAGCTAAAAAGGACCAGTGAGAGAAACACAGTTTGGCTATGAAGTCAGAGCCATCTCTGCCCCTGACCAGCTAAACTGACCAATCCCTGAGTAGGGAAAAAGTAACCAATCCCGTCTCCCTGGAAAAACTCTGCCCCTAAGAAGCCCTACATGAGCCTCTCCACCCCTTCAGTTAAGAGCTGCCCTTGCGGAAAGCCTGAACGCCTCCTTCCCAAACAAATCTCTTTTTCAAGAGTCTTGGGAGATGACCTTCATTCGCCAGTACAAAGCAGAAGAACCTGGCTGGGACTTCTCTAGGGGACTGAGCTGAAAAGCCCTGCTGAGACCTCCCTAGGGAGCATCATCGGCAAGGTGGAGCACAACAGAACCTTGCCAGCAGAAGAAAAGTAACAACTTTTTGAGGGAGCCAGAAGAGATTGCTACATTTCTGCAGGGGGCTTCCCTTTAGCAGTGTTAGCAGAAGAAACATCTTGGGCTAGAGAAGAAGCAGATAGCTCTGCTAGGACGCTCCTGTAAGGGAGCAGAGCAGACCTCAGCTGTAGCGGCTCTCTAGAAGAGCAGGATCATTATATCCTGCGGGGAGACCATCCCCCACCTCACCCCAGCTTCAGAGGTCCTGGCTTCCTGATAGTCAGGACATCTTTCCTCCAGGGCTGAGCTGTCCTTTTGCGGTTCTACCCCACTAGAGCTGATCTTTTGTGGTTCTACCCCTCCAGAGCTGTCCTATTGCCGGCTAAGTATATCCTGGCTTCCCAGTAAGTCAGGATATCCCAATACCACTACTGTAACACATTCCCCTACAGTCGGCCCACCAAGAGGTAACTCTCTGATGCGTTTATCTCTTTTAGGCAAGGCCACGGGACTACAGACCCCAGAATGTCCTTTGTTTCTGCTGTGCCTTTACATGATTGTTACTGCAATATTCCTCTGGTATCTAGTGTGAATGGATGTAGGGAGATCTCCACTGCCTGTAATATAGTGAGTTTATTTCTTGGAAACATCCCATTCTACTGGGCATTTTAATCTGTGGGTTGTCAAGATGACCCCTTCCTAAGCTGTACTGTTTAAACTGATAATAATAATGATAGCCCATACAGACTTTTGATGAATAAAAGTAAGTACAAGGATATGTTTCACATCCAGGGCCTGTGAGTTTCACCTAAGGAGCTGCACAGACTAGCAATTGAGTCCCAGTAGCCCAGCTAGTTTAAATTCTTTTAACCTTAATGTTGGGCAATGTGTTCGGTTTGGCAGTGAATCACAGCTGAAAGAAAGCTTTGAAGATAACTAAGTTAGATTAATACGTTCTTGTCAGAAAGCTTTGCGGTGAAAAAACCCAAGAGGACAACCAAAAGCTTTAGAAAGGCCCGCAGTTGAATGTGGAACTGTTAAGGTCAGGGAATGAGAACTAAGCAGCCCAATTATCATTAGCTGACTAATTCCTTATACCCATTTCTGCCCTCGGTCTCCTGATAAAAAACTACTAATGGGTGGGTATGTACCCTAAAGATTTAAAGAGGAGCTGGTTGATTCTTTTTCATATATGAAAGTTTAGGTTTGTGAATCCTTTAAGATTATCTTTCAAGTTAAGTAATAAAGTAATTGGCCCTTTCTTTGTAACCACAAAATGCAAACTGCCAGTAAAAGACCTAACTGAGAAGAACACCTTGCTTGCCCACACAGTTAACTTATAACAAATTGCTTGGATATGAATGCATGCCGGTTCTTGGGACGTTTTTCACCTGTAATACATAATGTTTAATTATGTAGGAGATATGAAAACCATGTTTTAACCAGTATTATTCATTATAACAATTTATTTGAAAAATAGGATGTAACCACGTTGTCAGTCCTATATTGCCTGAAAAACTTTGTTGGGGTATATAAGCTACATATAACTGAGAAAGAACACGGAAAGAACAAGAGAACAGAGAATAAAGAAGGAAGCCATCAAGAGAGCGTGTGTCTTTTCCCCCAAGCCCCTCAGATAGAAAAGTCTTAGCTTAGGCCGCTGACTCCGTGGGTTCCTTTCACAGCACTGTGCTGCTGGAGGCTGGCACCCCACACAGCAGAACATCCCTGTACATTGGGACTGAATCTTTGACTCATTTGTTTATTGTTATTCTGGGGATTGGACCTAGGGCCACAAGTAAGAGCAACTATCTACCACTGGGCATTATCCCCCTCCTTTTTTGAGACAGGATCTTTCTGAGTTGCCCAGGCTGGACTTGAACTTGCCAATTCTTCTGCCTCGGTTTCTTGAGTAGCTGGGATTACAGGCCTGCACCACCAGGCTGGGCTGAATCTTATATTTAAAGACTGGAACATGGCAAGGCTACTCTAAAACCTGTAGGATTACAGTATAAAACACGGAGGATCTCACGTTTGGGATTTAGTCTGAACTCCATCATTTACTACTGTAGATTACTTAGCTTTTGTTTCCATTTCCTCCCCCACAAAACTGGGGATACTAGCCTACTGCCTCACAGAGATCTTGTTACATACAACCTTTTGTCATTAGGGGACATGGTGGTCCAGTGACCAATACACACACAGCAGAAAAGCCGGAAAGATCTAGAAAGAAGTTTTCTTATGCTAGCAAGTGTAGATCCCTTGACTTAAAAATGAGACTTAGTCACGGTGGTGCAAGTGTATTATACCAGCAGATAGAAGGCTGAGGCAGGGAGACTGCATGCTTTAGGCTAGCCTGGGCTACGAGGTAAGACCTCAGGTATGAAAAAACAAAATCAAAAGCATAGAAAAAAAAAGTAAAACCCTAAAACCAAAACACATAGAAAGAGCCACTTAACTGAGGTCCAGCCATCCCCTCCTTTGCACAGAGCCAGAGTAAGCAAACACACAGGGCTCTGCTCCCCTCTGTGCAGCCGCCTGGGCAGGGCAGATGTGGCATCAGACCCTTGCTCCACACAGACTCACGCATGCTGTGTGACCCTCCCTTTTCAGGCTCAGGAACTCACCTACAAACTCAGGGTGCCACCTCAGGGGGTTGTGACAGGGTGAACTGAGAGGAGGCTTGTGAAGTGTGCAACACTTCTTGGGTAGGAGTTACACATCTGCTTTCTTGCTGCAAGGGCTTCAGGGGTAGCATAAAACACAGCTCAGTTTGTCTCGGTGCACCCTGTATTAAAACATACATGTGGCCCTGGACCTGACTCTTCTGAGTCCGAGTTAGCCCATGGCACCTCTGCTTCTCCCCTCTTCTGCCACATGCCACAACCACCACACTCCCTCCTTGTCATATCTCAGATGTCCTAATACTACAACATGAGTGGCCACAGGACTGTGCGGAAGAAATCCCAAGTAAGGCCAGAGATGAAAGAGACAGACAGCAGATAGCCTAGGTGTGTAGCATGTGGTCCCAGAGTGCTGTCCTCCTATTGGCTGAACTCCTTAAAAAGTCTCCTGGAGGCGGGTAAGAACAGAGAAGAGTTAGGTGTCAGGGAGCAGACGGGAAAAGGGCAGAGGGAGGGGGACAGCTAGAGCTTGAAGCAAACTCACTCAAGGTGGCAAGAATCCCACACCTCTCAGGCTCCAGGCCCTGATCATGCCTCTCCACTGGCCAGACACCCTCCTCTATCTGGTTGTCTATTATCTGGGCCACTCCAGAGCTGGCTCTGGAAGGCCCAATTCTGACCTCAAATCCCAGCACTCAGGAGGCAGAAGCAGGCAGATTTTTAGGAGTTTGAGGTCAGCCTGGTCTACAGAGCGAGCTCCAGGACAGACTCCAAAGTTTTACAGAGAAACCCAGGAAAACCAAAAACAACAAAAACAGATGCCAAGATGTTACTTCAATTGATGGTCACTTCCCTGAGTGACAGTTTTCCAACCTCTGTGACTAAGTGAGGAACTTAACTTCCTATGGTTTAGTTCCTCACCTGCAGAACATGGACACCAAGAGGATTGAGGGGTTGGATCTTCATGGGCTGGGTGATGACTTAGGAGACCAGAGAGACGTCTATCACGTGCATAGCACCTTTTATAAACATGCGCCAGCATCAGTGCCGTGAATAGCTGCTTTATTGTTCTTGTGTGTCAATGCCTCTCACTCTGGAGCTGAGCCCATTTAGTCACGAGAAAGCTAGTCCATTAGTCTATCTTTTCAATCTAGGATGAGGTCATTTGGACCAGTGTACTTAACAGAAGGAAGGACACACACACACACACACACACTGTTGGAAGCAGGGACTGGTCAAGAAGACTGAGGACTGCAGGATCATTGTAGCTGAGATTAGCAGGAAAAGCCCTCCCACGCCCTCCAGAGGGAGGTAGCCCTGCCAAAACCTGCACTTTGGTCGTTTGGCTTCTAGAACTGAAGATCCAGTTCTGTTGTTTTGCATCACCGAGTCTGCAATCCTTTGGGCTGGCAGCTGAAGGTAACACACATGAGAAGAGGAAACACTGCTGGGCCCTCATGCTGCAGACACTGTAGTGCTGCTGAGTGGTGGTCTTTGGGGAGGGGGGACTCACTTCCTCAGACAGGCTGACCTCATGTCATCTACACAGCAAGACTGATGAGGAGGGATCTTCAGTCGCTGTCTTGTTTGTGAATCCTAGCTTTGAGTGCAGTGACCTGTGTTCTGTGGCCCTCTTGGGATGGGAGGTCTGCCAAGTTCTAAGTCCCACTCCCAGCCTAACCTGGGAATATATACCTCCCTGACAGTCTGTTGCCAGCAGGACACAGGGTTGTGAGAATCTGCCATTGCGAGGCTCTACAGAAGGGCTGGGGTCTGAACTAGAGCATAAAAATAAGAGCTGGGAGGAATAGACCCCTATTTTGTTTTATGAGAAAGGGATGTGCTGGCTAGTTTTAATGTCAATTTGACACAGGCTAGAATCATCTGAGAGAGGGGAACCTCAATTAAGAAAATGCCTCCATAAGACAGGGCTGTAGGCAAGTCTGTAGAACATTTTCTTAATTAGTGATTGATGAGGGAGGGCCCAGTCTATTGTGAGCGGTGCCATCCCTAGGCTGGTGGTCCTGGGTTCTATAAGAAAGAGGCTGAGAAAGCCACGTGGAGCAAGTCAGTCAGCAGCACTCCTCCATGGCCTCTGCATCAGCTCCTACCTCCAGGTTCCTGTCCTGTTTGAGTTCCTGTCCTGACTTCCTTCCATGATGAACAGTAATGTGGAAGTGTAAGCCAAATAAACCCTTTCCTTCCCAAGCTGCTTGGTCATGGTGTTTCATCACAGCAGTAGTAACCCTGACCAAAGCAAGGGGTTTACCCTGTAGTCCAGGCTGGACTAGAACTCATTATGTAGACCAAGCTGGCCTTGTACTCAGAGCAATCCTGTCTCAGTGCTGAGATTACAGGTATGAGCCACCATTTAGGCCCCGTCTTATCAAGGGACCAGTAAGTCCAGGGTACAGAGATGCCAGGTATGGCCATGATATCCTGGAACTGACTCCAAACCCAAGTAAGTGAGAGATGGGACAGAGAGAAGGGCTGTAGACCCAACATCCGGGCAGAGGGGACCATAGCGGGGAGAAATTAACAGGAGAGGTAACGAATGCATGGGCAGGGCAAGGATACGCTGGGATTAGATGGGCATCATACGGGTGCCTGAGGAGCCAGGGGAAGTGCTTCCAGAATGTCTAAGAGGGGCTGATGGGGAGTTCTGTGAAACCCTCTGGCCCTACAGTGTGTAGAGCAAGCAAGAAGGCAGGACCATCTGCCCACATGGGTGGGAGGCCTACTCAGAACCCAAGTCCCGGTGTCTCTGGACTTCATAACACATTCTCGACATGGAAGCAGTTGGTGTTCTGGGAGGCTGACCTGAACAAGCAACACGTTTCAGATGGGATTTGAGCCACATTAAGCTCAGTCTCAGTTTTCAAGTATTATCCTCTGTCAGGAGAAAACAAAGACACCAGGTTGTGTCACATAGACTAACCCAGCCCCACCAGAGCCAAGGTCGCCCTCACTTACTTCTCTGAGGTGATTATAGGCATGTCTGTCTGCACACCTGGAACAGAAAGACGTTCTATTAGTTCCAGACAGACTTCCTTAGAGGAAACAAAACCCACTTTAAAAAGACAGGTAATTTCGAGATCCCGTCATACATTTGGATGGTGATGTGTATCGGCCACAGCCGGCTTGTTCTGACGGCCGCCCTCTCCTGCACCCACATCCTCCTGCTGGCTCAGATGGGCCCTCAGAACTTTAGCCCCAGCTCAGAAGTACAGATATGTGAGGGGACCGTTCATCCGTCAGAACACTTGGGCCCTGTGTATGAGCTTAGCAGGAAGGGCTGCAGAGACCCTTGATGGTGGTGAAGTTTGGGGTATGGGGCTGGGGGCTCCAGCTCTACTGCTGGGTGCCAAGTAGGACCAGCCCTTTCTTCTAAAGTGTGTTTCAAGTCATTCAGCAGCCTTGCTTTTACTCCTGGGTCCCCCTCATTCTGCCTTGAAAAAAGTTGTCTCCTTTCTCAAATTCAGCACTGTGGTGGTCTGAACGAGAAAGGCCCCATAGGCTCACAGATTTGTACTACTTGGTCACCAGGAAGTGGCGCTATTTGGAAGGATTAGGAGGTGTGACAGAGAAAGTGTGTCACTGGCTTGGAGGTTCCAAAAAGCCCATTCCAAGCCCAGAGTCTCTCTCTTCCTGCTGCCTGTGGATGTAGAACTCTTAGCTACCTCTCCATCAACATGTCTGCCTGCATGCTCCCTGCCATGATGACAACGGACCAAACCTCGGAACTGTAAGACAGCCGCATTTAAATGCTTTCCTTTATAGGAGTTGCTATGGTCATGGCATCTCTTCACAGCAATAGAACACCAAGTCTCATCTGCAGGTTAAGAAGGCTTGGCAGGAGGCTGTTCAGTTTAGGAAGGAGTCTGTTGAGGAGGAGGGATGGATTCTGGGGCAGTTTATGAAGCAGAGGCACTCTGACAGGAGAAAATGGCCAAAGTCTCTTCCACAAGGCTTGAACAACAGGTGACTATTCCCTAAGAGAGGTACCATCAGGGTGGTTATATAACCAACTGGATATACCTAGCCGATTGTTTAAAAAAAAAATTGTTGGGTGGTGGTGGCACACAGCTTTAATCCTGGTACTTGGAAGGCAGAAGTAGGAGGATCTCTGTGAGTTCAAGGCCAGCTTGATCTACAAATTGAGTTTCAGGACACCCAGAGTTGTTACATAGGCAAACCCTGTTTCGAAAAGACAAACAAACAAACAACCTAACCCCCCACTCCCTAAAAATACCCAAAACAAAAAAGGAAGTATTTATTTATTTATTTATTTATTTTGAGGCAGAGTCACATTATGTAGCTTTGGTTGTCCTGGAACTTTCTATGTAGACCAGGCTGGCCTTGAATTCACAGAGTTCATCCTGTCTCTGCCTCCAGAGTACTGGGATTAAAGGTATACACTACTGTGACTGGCTTTAAGACTTTAAAATTTTTATTTATGTGCACTGTGTGTGTGTGTGTGTAGGCTTGGGGTGGGGGTGAGGGGGCAAGCACCTAGAAGAGGGAGTCTAATTTCATGGAGCTGGAGCTCAGACAGTTGGGACTGGGAACCAAACTTAGGTCCTGGGAAACAAAAGTGCTCTTAATGTCCAAGCCATCTTCCCAGCTCCTAATATTTCTACAAGGAAGAATTACTCTGAAATACTTAAGTTTCACACATATACAATGTATCGATGAGCTTTCCAAGGCAGAGCTGCGAGGCCTGGCCTCACTCCTGGGCTCCACCACACTGCTTTTGCTGTGTGATGTACAGAATACAGGAAGTCCACACACTAGGCAAATCCTGTACCTCTGAGTGACAGGGTCTTGCTATGTAACACGGGAGCCTCAAAATCACAGCGATCCTCCCGTCTCAGTGCCTCCAGCGCTGAGATTTCTGTGTGTCTCACCATGCCTGGCTTATGTGTTCATTCCAGTATTTATTTATTTAGACAGGGTCCATTAGCAGGTAGCCTAGGCTGCCTTCAACTCACAATCCTCCTCGCAGTCTCCCAAATACTAGGATTACAGAACTGCACAGTCATGCTTGGTCCTGTCCTTCCTTTTCATCTGGCATACAAAACATAGAAGTTGTACTAACAATGCGTAACCTAACTACACATGTGCACTTGTGTAATTTTTCAGTCAGGTATAATATCTACCTCCTCAAACTCTTTTATCTTCAAAAATACTAAGTATGGATTGCTGTTAAAAAATTGTTTAATAATGTGTATCAGTGTTTTGTCTGCATGAGTGCCTGTGCACCGTGTGCATGCAGAGGCCAGAAAAGGACACTGGCTCCCCTGGGGCTGGTGCAGCAGATTGTGAGCGGCCATGTGGGAGCTGGGAACTGAACCCGTGTCTTCTGCAGGAGCAGTCAGTACTCTTGATGGCTTAGCCATCTCTTTAGCACCCAAATACTTCTTAGGCCTCCATTTTGCATCACCCACAGCTCACAGCCTGAGCCTCTCATTTAATAACATCGCAGTAAGCCCTCAACCTTACTCTAATTTACATTTTGTTTTGTTTTTTCTTCTACTTTTCTCTTTTTGGTTTGTCATGACAAGTTTCTCTGTGCAGCCCTGGCTGTCCTGAAACTCACTTTGCAGACCAGGCTTGGCTCCAAACTCAGAAATCTGTTTGCCTCTGCCTCCAAGTGCTGGAATTAAAGGCGTGCACCACCACTGCCCAGCTTATGTATTTCTTTACATGAACACACTAGTGCTTGCAATCGATACCTTCTCCTTCAACTGGGTTGTTTCTGTTCTTCAGGTATTACAAACAGGGCCTTAGAGAGTCTATGCTGCTTTTCTTCCTATTTGCTCCAGTGTATTGTTAAGATAAATCTAGGTTAGAGGGAGAATGCAAATATAATTTTGCTAAATATGGTTAAATTCCCTTTGTAAGTGCTGAGGTACATGAATGTTTGTACATGCGTGAGCGTGTGTGTGTGTGTGTGTGTGTGTGCACGCGCGCACACACACACCCCTACCTGTGGTGATAGAGGTTTGCCATGGCCTCACCAACTCAGCACACTGTCAGGCTTTTGGGACCTGACCAGCTGCTGAATTAATACCCCAGTGTCTTACATGGATCACCTTACAGCCCCACCCCTTGTTTTTTTTCCCTGTTGAGAGAGGTCTCTAGCTGGTAATCTTCCTGTCTCAGCTTCCTACTTGCTGGGATTATAGGTCTGAGCCACTATACCAGCAGTTCTCAACCTATGGGGCATGACCCCTGTGGGGTTCACATGTCAGATATCCTGTATATCAGATACTAATATTATGATTCATAACAGTAGTAAAATTACAGTTATGAAGTAGCAACGAAATAATTTTATGGTTGGGGGTCACCACAACATGAGGAGCTGTATTGTATTAAAGGGCTGCAGCATTAGGAAGGTTGAGAACCATTGTACTGAAGTTAGCCCTAAAGAAATCCTATTTATTTATTTATTTATTTTTCAAGACAGGGTCTCACTATGTATCCCTGGCTGTCCTGGAACTCACTATGGAGATCAGGTTGGCCTTGAACTCACAGAGATCCACTTGCCTCTGCCTCCCAAGTGCTGGGATTAAAGGTAAATACTACTATGCCTGGCAGTTCTTTTATGTCTTAACCTACTGGTATTATTTATGAGGATGCCTTGGAAAATGTATTAGAAGAAAAGAATTATAAGTTAAGGAGTTATGCACATTAATTAGTTTTGAGTTTTAAACTCCATTTATTCGTGTGTGTAGGTCTGTGCATGGCGTTTCATGTGTGGACAACCTGTAGTAATGACTCCTTCCACCATATGGGTTTGTGAGGTCTACTTTTGGAATTAACTAAAACTCAAGCAGCTGGGCACATGTTTGAGGAAATTTTCACTATTGGATTATTTGTGGTGGGAAGACCCACCCTAAATGTGGGACACACCTTCTGGTGGCAGCCTACATTAAGAGGACATGAAAGAAGGAAGCTTGTGCTTTTCACCTGCTAGCCTCCATTGTCACTGGCAAGTTCCTCTCACCTGCTGCTGAGGCGTCCCTTCGCTGGCATTGGAGCCCACTTCCTTAGGATTCCCACGTATACTAAAGCCTGGCTGAGACATAAGCATCATGGTCTGAACTATTGAATTCTTGGACTTTCTGTCAGGAGACAGACAGCCACTGTTGAATTAGTGGACTATAGCCTGTAAGCCACACTAATAAATCACACACACACACACACACACACACACACACACACACTCATTCTAGCAATTCTGTTGCTCTAGAGAACCCTGACTAACTCAGGTCATAAGGGTTGGTGGCAGGCATTTTTATCCACCAAGCTGCCTCACCACCAGCCCCATGTTCAGCAATGCCAAGGCTATTGCAAATTCTACCTCTGCAAATAAAACCCCACCCTCATTCTGACAGGAGCACAGGCAGGCAGAACTTCATACACACAGCATCCTGCCAGGCAAGGCATAACAAAAAAGCCAGAATAACACTTTCCCCTGTCTTCTGAGGTGCAAAGGATGGAAATCAGGGCAGTGTGTGTGAGCAGGACTTGTGACTATTCCAAGGAATGTGAAACACATTTCCAAGAACCAGAAGGATCTTTCTGCCTGGTCTGCTGGTACATGGGAGAGCCTGAGTTCAGGGCCAGCCTGGGCTAAGTACTGAGCCATTCTTAGTCAAACTGAAACAAAACCAAGAACTGTTTTGTTGTAATTCTTGTAGGTGATCTTCCAGGCAGGAGCACTGTCAGTGTGCCTCTCTTTCAGAACTTACCATCTCACCAGGACATGTAAGCATCAAACAAAAGCTGCAGGCCTTACCTTTCCATCTGGCAGCCAGCTTAGGATTGGAGATCGTGAAGTTTGGACGGCTTCTTGAAAGAATGCCTTTTCCAAAGTAACCCTTCCAAGAAGAAAACATGGTCAATGCTCAGTTGTTAGGACTATTCAACAGCCCCACGTTTCCTTGATTCTCTAATGCTCATACAGTCCCACCTCTGAGGTGTGTGGTGTATGTAGGTGTTCATGTATATGTGTGCACACATGGGAGAGCAGGTGCATGCATGCACACGTCTGCATGCCAGCAATATTGAGTGTTTCCCGTGGGTACCGGGGTCTGAACTTAGGACCTCATGTACTTTACTCACAGATCATCTCCAAGCCCCACAGATTTCAGTACCAGCTCGCCCATCTGAGAGGAACCATTTTGGCTTGTGTCTGGCATCCGAAGGCACCAGAGCCAGCTTCTTCTCACATGTGACCAGGAGTGCACTGGGTGAGGGGGCAGGAGGTATTTCTTGGATTACATCCTACTCTGGACTGAAAGTATCCTTCCCTTTCCTGCTGATTCCCCCAAAATACACACTTCCCCTGCTTTTGACTATGAACAAGCAGAAAAAAATAAAATTATAATAGATGATTAAAAAGTACCCGGCCTATGATAAGCCTCATTCCACCTTGCACACTGTGAACAAAGGTCTCAGCAGTGAGCTGAAGGCAGACAGGGACCAGCGAGGCCTTAATGCACCAGAGCCCAGTGACCTACTGCAAACTCTAGAGAAGGTAGAAGAGAGGCAGGGTGCCCACCAGTTGTCCTGACTTGGGGTGGGAGCAGGGCTTGGCGTCACAGGCATGAGTGACTGCAGTGGAGCTGGCAGGTACAGCTCAGGGGAGGAATACAAGACCCTCGGGCCAATCCCAGCACCAAAGCAAACACACAAATACTAAGACTGGACTGTGGCGATAGGGAGCCACTCCGTAGGTTCATGATGTCACTGAAAGAAAGGTATGCTCATGAGGGTGAACTCTTGGCTATCAGCTACGCCTCATCTGGGCTGCTTAAAAAGTTACTTTTGCTACTTACTTTAATCACTGCACTAGGGAGACAGAGGCAGGCAGATCTCTATGAGTTTAGGGCCAGCCTGGCCTATAGAGTAAGTTCCTATGGCCAGAACTACACAGATAAACCATGTTTCAAAAAATAAAAACAAAGACAAAACAAAACACAAAAACAAACAAAAATTTCATGTGTATGGGTGTTTCGCCCGGATGTATGTATATACTATGTGCGCCTGGTGTCTTCAGAGGCCGGGAGAGGGCACTGGATCATCTGGATGGAATTACAAATGGTTGCTGGAGGCTAGACTGGTGCTGTGGATTGGATCTAGGGCCTCTGGAAGAAGAATCTTCACTGCTGAGCCATCTTTCCATAAGGCTGCATTTTAAAATGCCCCAGTGATAAAAAAGATATGGGGAGTGTACTGGGAGAAGGTCAGGGGAAGCCAGCTACCACTTTAAGTCCATAACTGCCAGTGATGTGGGAGTCCCCTCTGTGTGCTATGATTACCATTAATTGGTGTAGGAGGTCCTTCTGTATTTGTATTCTTTCATTGGTTGAATAAAGAAACTGCCTTGGCCTTTTGATAGGGCAGACTTAGATAGGCGGAGTAGACAGAACAGAATGCTGGGAGGAAGAAGGCAGTGTGGCAGATGCTACGATTCTCCTGCCTGAAAGGGATGCTGGTTTTACTCATGCCAGTAAGCCACAGTCAAGTGGCGATACACATTAATAGAAATGGGTTAATCAAGATGTGAGAGTTAGCCAATAAGAGGCTAGAGCTAATGGGCCAGGCAGTGTTTAGATGAATACAGTTTTTGCGTGATTATTTCGGTTGTATGCTAGCCGGGTGGGATGGAACAAAGGGCCCTGTGCTCCATACTACAATTAACGAATAAAGAAACTGCCTTGGCCTGTTGATAGGGCAGAACTTAGGTAGATGGGGAGGACTGGACTGAATGCTGGGAGAAAGAAGGGCAGAGTCAGAGAGATGCCTTGGATCTGCCGCCAGAGATAGACTTGCTGAAACTTTGCTGGTAAGCCACAACCTCGTGGTGAAGCACAGATTAATGGAGATGGGTTAAACTAAGATGTAAGAGTTAGCCAATAAGAAGTTAGAGTAATGGGCCAAGCAGTGATTTAAATAATTACAGTTTCTGTGTGATTATTTCAGGTGTAAGCTGTCTGGGTGGCCGGGAAGAACAAGTGGCCCTCCCTCCAACCAGAACTAGAGGCCGTCCTCATCCAACAAGTACCCAGGACGGAAAGAGAGCAGACACTTTGGGGAACTTCCCACAGGCCCTAATCCACTGGGGAGGATCTCCAGTTTTACCCATTACATTTCTGTAAATTACTTGTTTGTCTTTAATATACATGGCTTCATCCTACGTGGTGTTGGGATGAGGGTTTGTGGCGAGGCGTCTAGTTCTCAGCCCCACAGCTGAGGTCCCCAGGGTCTCCAGGCTCACCTTTCCATACAGCTGCTGCATGTCCTCCACGCCCCTCACCACCACCTTGTTACTGATCATTTCAGCTCGGAATATTCGGAATTCCTTCCTGGAACCTTGGTCCTCACCAAAGGGGATGGGCAGTGGTGACTCGTAACTCTCATATACTCTTCTTTTCCTCTTCGGGGCACGGAAGACTGCCTCTGCCATTCTTCAAGGGTAACAGGCCTCTAGAGGAGAGAGAACCAGTCAGTAACCACGGACCAACAGGGCTAGCACACTCAGAACCTGGTTTATGTGGTCTCTGGGGGAAGGCAGAGTATAAGAGTGAACTAGAAGACTCCATGTGACTAGGTCATGACAGCATAGATCGGTCACCAGGGGTATCTCAGAGCCTGAGGCCTTCAAGAAGCTAGTGCCATCACCTTAACCGAAGCTGGCAGCACCAAGGCCTACCTCACACCCCGAGAATTCCTGTCTTTAAGGACAACATATTTTCCTTTCCTTGATCAAGAGGCATTCAGAGACCCCCAGGGACTGCTAATCAGATGTATGGGTGTGAGTGTGTGTATGAAGATAAAGCCAAGCAAGAATGTATCCTCAGTGGAGTGAGTCTGGTTAGCTCTCCATCTTCCAAAGACCGACCTTAAGGTACATCGTAAGACCTGGGGTGGTCAGTTCTCAGTGTTTTCTGGTTTTTTTTTTTGTTTGTTTGTTTGATTGTTTGCTTAATTGAGACAAGATCTTGTGTAATGCAGGCTGATGAACTCACTATGTAGGTGAGGATGACCATGAACTCCTGGACCCCCTGCTTCTACTTCCCAAGTGCTGGGATTTGAGATCTGAGTGATTTAAGGGCCAATTATGTTCCACCAAATGCCAGTGGGTGTGTGCAGCAACTCTGAAGCCAGGCTGGCTGTGCTGTGATCTACCTAGTGCTAGCTTTTGCACTGCACACACCAAAATCAGGAAGCTGCTGCCCCTTAGATGTGAAACCTTGGGCAAAAGTTCCCCCAGCCTCTTGGGGCTTTAGCTCTTCTGTAAAGGGAGAGAAAACCGGCCTCAGAGTCAGGGCTCACAGAGTGTGCTGTGTATATTTGTTTAACCATGTAAAGATGTGTTACTGTTTTACCTTGCCTGTCTAAGGCACCTGATTGTTCTAATAAAGACATGAATGGCCAATAGCAAATAAGGAGGTATAGGTGGAACTTCTGGGCAGCGAGAGTAAGTAGGAGGAGGAATTTAGGCTTAAGGAGAAAGAATAGGAGATGATAGGGAGATAGATGCCAGGGGCCAGCCAGCCAGATACAGAGGAAGCAGGGAAGTAGGATAAAAAGCCCTGATATAAAATGTAGAGGGATAGAAACAGGTTAAATTAAGTTAAAAGAGCTAGAGGGACAAGCCTAAGCTAAGGCTGAGCTTTCATAATTAGTAAATCCCTCCGGGTGTTGGTGGTGCATGCCTTTAATCCCAGCACTCAGGAGGCAGAGGCAGGTGGATATCTGTGAGTTCGAGGCCAGCCTGGTCTACAAGAGCTAGTTCCAGGACAGCCTCCAAAGCTACAAAGAAACTCTGTCTTGAAAAACAAACAAACAAACAAACAAACAACAACAATAATAATTAGTAAGTCTCTGTGTCTTTATTTGGGATCTGGTTGGCAGCCCAAAGAAAATGCCAACTACAAGAGTGCTTGGCACAGTGGCACTACCCATACACTGGGTATATAATGGTTATGAAGTGAGTGCCAGCAATGTCACGTCACGGCCAATGGAACACACGCGTCAGTGAGGCCTCTAAAGGGTGTGTTGGCTAAGCATGGGGCTGTGGGGGCCAGAGCCCAGGTCCTCTCTGTGGGTCCTGCTCAGACATACGATGTATCTGTTTACTATGGACTAGGTCTGCGTGAGATGCCACACAGCCACCAACCAGGCCCAGAGCCAGGAAGCTGAAGGCAACACCTCTCTATTCTGGGTCTCACACTGACCCAAGGAGATGAAACAAGTGTGGAACACACACGAAAGCAAGTTGGGTGTAACACAGGGCTGCTGCCAGGTAATAGCTAACTGCAGGAAGCATTATTGAACTACAGTCCACGCAAATGTGTATAGTCCAGTTGACAGAGATGCTGTCACCAGGCAGGCGGGGGATTCGAACTAGCAGCTGTTTAGGGTCAGGTCTGCACATGAGTTAAACCAGGAAGTTATGTGGAGCTGAAAGGTCACATACAAAACCCCTCAAAAAGGACAAAATACGATGATGTGGGTGCTCCTGACCTCAAACTAGCATCCATTAGGCAAGGGAGAGTTGAGCCTGAGGAGGGGGTGGCTTCAACATTTCATGACCATTATAAAGAAACGATGAGGCAGGAGCACTGGCTGCTCTTAGATGACTCGGGTTTCATTCTCAGCACCCACATGGCAGCTCACGGCCATCTTTAACTCCAGTCCCAAGGACCTAACGCCCTCTTCTGGTCTCTGTGAGCACTGCACGCTTGTGGTGCAGAGATAAGACATAAAGGCAGAAAGACACTGCAAAATAACAATAATAAATAATAAGAGAAATGACAAGCCTTGGCCAAAATGGGATGAGAGCTGCAGGGAACGTCTCATGAAGCCAGAAACCTCAATAAGAAGAGGGAAACAGACCTAGGAAGTTAGACCAACTAACAAGTGAGCAACAAAGATACCCATGGGTCCAATTCCTAGCATGCACCAGGTATCTTACACCCACCTGCAACTCCAGTTCCAGGGAATCAGACCCACCCTTCCGGCCTCCTCAGGAAGACAAACACTCAAGTGTTGCATGTCATAGGGCACATGCGTACATGCCAGCATATACGGGTGTGTGTATATATGTCTATGAAAGCAATCACCAGGATCTATCTTCTTAGAACTGACAGAGCAAAATAAGTTAAGTTCTTAGGCTTCTCAATGAACATAGCCGAGCATTTCTGTGCACGACATGTATAATGCTGACAGCATGTATGACCAGAGCTGCTGCATGGGAAGGGGGCTGAAGGGCTCCCCAGAGAGCACTGTAACTAGATGACTGTCAGTCTGACAGACTCTACTGAAGAGGCAGGCCTCTGAGCAAGTCCAGGTTAGACGAGCTGAGATGGGAAGGCCAACCCTGGATGTGGGAGGCACCACCCCACGGACTGGGGTTTCAGAGCACAGAAAAAGGTGAAAGCAAACCCAGAAGCCACACTCTGCTTCTTGACAGAGGTTATGTTGCAAGCGGCTGGTCTGTTCTTGCATGTGGTGCACAGCACCCACACGTGGGCAAAATACACAGATAAAATAAAAATAGCTTAAAAAAAAAAAAGAAACTCTTCCTGTTGCCACACCAGCAGAACACCCCAACGTGAAGGCACAAGGGAAGCCATCGTCAGCAGGTCCAGGGTTCCAGACACTGACTGGGCCACACACACACAAATGGCACTGGAGAACTGTCCTTATTCTGTAAAGGAGCCGAGCTCAGCCCTTTGCTCAGTGCTGTTACTAGGGAACGCAGAGGTAAGACCTGATGTGGTGGTCCATGCCTGTAATGCTAGTGTTCAGGCTAAGACAGGAGGACTGTTCTGAGTCCAGGCCAGCCTGGGCTATAGAGTGACACCTTGTCTCAAAAGAACAGCAGTAAGTAGGTGCCTAAGCAGAGAGGAAGGCGGGGTGTGGAAGTTCATTGCTTATGTGTCCGGGGCACATTTAATGTCTTGGGAGGACCACCAGGTCAGTCTTGTGGAGGACTGAAAGGCTGTAATTTGCTTTTTTCTAGTGCTAGAGTGTGAACCCAGGGCCTGGCTCGTTCAAAGAAAACTCTCTATGGAAGGAGCCACAGTTCCAGCCTTGGCATTATTCTTATTCCCCCTGTACAGGTGAGCAAAGCGACTCAGGGCTGAGTGTACCTGTTACTTCTTCACTTTCCAAACCTGGGCATAGCTGGCGCCAAAGCACCACAGAGCATATTTCTGTCCACCAAAAGCTAGGCCTGTCCTTTATCCTTCCCCTCCCTGATCTGCTAGCCTAACTTACATTTAAAAGTTTCGGTGTTGCCATGTAGTTTTGGCTAGCTTTAAACTCATTATGATCTCTCTGCCTCAGCCTTCCATGTGCTGGGGCCAAAACCATGAACCATCACACCCACTGGTCAGCCTGACCCCTTTTAGATGCTCCAAAATGTCAATCCAAGCACAAGCAATAAAGACGCATTTAGTTTTCCAACATTCTTGGAGCAGGTGCCAAACAAGCCTCCCTATGACAAACTCACCCGTGATCTCTTATCAGTTATTTCTTTTCATTTTTGAGACGAGGCCACACGTAGCCCTGACTAACTTCACACTTGACACGTGGCTGAGGATGGCCTTAAAAACAGCTGATCCTCTTGCCTCCACCTCTCAAACGTTGGGATTACAGGTGGGCCAGCACGCTCGATCTGATCCGGTGCTGGGCACAGAAACACGCTGCCAACTCAGCCCCATCCTCTGCCCTCGTGGGCGCCTCATCATCTGAAAACCCATTTGCGTCTGTGCTCCTCACTGCATACACAGCTCCTGCGCTGAGGGCCAAGGCAAGGCCAGCTTGGGTCTGGGGCAGCCGGCACCTGTCAGCCAAGCAGAGTGCTCAGCTGCCCGCAGGACGCTGTGCCCATGGGCTCCTGAGTGGCAGTCAGCCCCCACCCCACTCGCGCCCGAGGACGCTTACACTCTCGGCACGGGGGACACATAGGACGGCCCGGCCTCCAGTCAGCCTTACCTTCCGCGACCACGCGCGCCCACCGTTACCCGGGCAACCTGGGGGGCGGTGCTACAGCCGTCAAGCAGTGAGGCCGCAAAAGAAAGAAAAAAAAAAAACAGCCGTTTGCGCAGCCGCAGAGCCGACCCGCTGCGTCCTAGAGCAGCGCGCCTGCGCACAGTATAGGAGCTGGTTCGTTCCGTCCCACCCCCCGACCTCGCTGAACCTAACGGAGGAGGGTTACGGGGGTCGTTTATCCCGCTTTGATCTTCACAGTAATCCCCCCCAAGACCGCTTTTTTTATTTTCTCACTTGAGGCTACATAAATCTCACGGTATAGCTTTGGTTTGCCTGCAACTCACAGTGTAGCTCAGGCTGTTCTTGAACTCACGGAGTTGCATCTGTGTTTCCCCAGTGCTGGAATTAAAGATGCTCGCCGCCTTACTGGTCTAACACAAGATCAGTTTTTACAGATGAGATGTGAAGTGACCTGCCCCCCAAATACTGCCCTTGACCTCCTCAAGATGATGTGAGATTGTATTCAGTAATGAACCCTGCGCGTAACAATAATGACCTACCAGGAAGATGTGCCCACTGGTGCAATAAGGGCATGAGGGTTATGGCGGCAACTGACAGGAAAGAATTCATGCCTAGTACTGGAAACCTGATCAAAAGCCTGTGTCCCAGGAGGTCACAGGGCCTAAGGGGAAACCTACTATGACTGTCTTGTTATGGGGATGTCAAACTACTACATACTTTGGTTATACCCACAGATTAGTGCTGCCCTCACCCATGGTCAGAGAAGCGCTGTTCTCCAGTGGGCAGTGGCTAGTGGTCAAAATGCTGAGAACAAGTGGCTATCAAGTGCTCAGCCTTAAGTGGGATATGTATATTAACTCCTGCCTGCGGAAGGCTGAAGAAACATTGGGAAAAGGGGGGTGGGGGTGGGAAGAAGGTGAGAGCAGACGATGGGGAAGAGGGCTGTGAAATGCTGTCTTCTGGACCTGACAGAGCCCATGGCATTCACAATTACTAACACACGACTTGGACATGATCAGGCCCACAGGATCAGTTAGCATTCTAGCAGGTGGTACTAATTGGATCAGATGATTACCAAAAAAGATAACGAGCAGGGGGTACGCAGGGATGTGGGGGAGTGTGTGTGTGGGGGGAGTTGGGGGTGGCTTTACTCAAGGTATACTGTAAACACGTATGAAACTGTCAAAGAATACACAAAAGATATTTTAAAAAGCAAGAACAAAGAATAAAAGCAGTAAAAAGATAATCTCTGCCAAGTGTGTGGTGCATGCTTATTATTATTATTGATTTTTATTGAGCTCTACATTTTTCTCTGCTCTCCTCCTTGCCTCTCCCCTCCCCTTCAACCCTCTCCCAGGGTCCCCGTGCTTCCAATTTATTCAGGAGATCTTGTCTTTTTCTACTACCCATGTAGATTAAATCTATGTACAACTCTCTTAGTGTCCTCATTGTTGTCTGGGTTCTCTGGGATTGTGATTTGTGGGCTGATTTTCTTTACTTTATGTTTAAAAACCACTTATGAGTGAGTACATATGATTATTGTCTTTTTGGGTCTGGGTTATGTCACTCAATATGATGTTTTCTAGCTCCATCCATATTGCCTGTAAAATTCAAGAGGTCGTTATTTTTTTCTGTTGTGTAGTACTCCATTGTGTAAATGTACCACATTTTCCTTATCCATTCTTCCATAGAGGGGCGTTTAAGTTGTTTCCAGGTTCTGGCTATGACAAACAAAGCTGCTATGAACATAGTTGAGCACATGTCCTTGTGACACGATTGAGCATCCTTTGGATATATACCCAAAAGTGGTATTACTGGATCTTGAGAAAGCTTATTTCCTAATTTTCTGAGAAATCGCCACACTGACATCCAAAGGGGCTGTACTAGCTTGCATTCCCACCATCAATGCAGAAGTGTTCCCTTTTCCCCACAACCTCTCCAGCATAAGTTGTCATTAGTGTTTTTGACCTTGGTGCATGCCCTTAATCCTAGCTTGGTAAGGAGTAGTAGCCAAATCTCTATAAATTCAAGGCCATCCTGGTCTACTTAGCAAGTTCAAGGTCAGCCAAGACATTAGTGAGGTCACATCTTTAATTTTCTTCTCCTCGGGCTGGGGTGTGACTTAGTGTAGAGCGTTTGCCCAGCATTCAGAGGCCTTGGGGTCCATTAAAAATAGACCAAAACAGCCGGGCGATGGTGGCGCACGCCTTTAATCCCAGCACTCGGGAGGCAGAGGCAGGCGGATCTCTGTGAGTTAGTTCCAGGACAGGCTCCAAAGCCACAGAGAAACCCTGTCTCGAAAAACCAATAAAATAAAAATAAAAAAAAAAAAAAGAAAATAGACCAAAACAAAGTAAAACTTATTTCTCAAACTTCCAACCTTTTATAGCTTGTTTCATTCATACTCTTCACATCCCAGCTTTGATTTCCTTGGTGAAGTATTTGAAAATAACCCCTACCCAGGCATGGTGGAGTATACTTATGGCCACAGTTACTGGGAAAGCAGAGGGGCTAGCATCCCTTGAGGCTGTGAGTTCAAGGCCAGGCAAAGAGCAAGACGAAGCAGGCAGTAGTGGCGCTAGCCTTAGATCACAACATTCCTTTGGGAGGCAGAGGCAGGCAGATTTCTGCGTTTAAGGTTAGCCTGGTTTAGTGAGTGAGTTTCAGGACAGCCAGGGCTACACTGAGAAACCCTGTCTTGAAAAGCCAAACCAACCAACCAAACAAGCAACCAAACAAACAACCAAAAACCCAACAAAACCAAGAGGGGCTGAAGAGGTGGTTGACGTTTAAGAGCATTGGCTGCTCTTTCAGAGAATGTGGGTTCAATTTGCAGAACTTACATGGTGGCTCACAGCCATCTGTAACTTCAGTTTCAGGGGCCTGATGCCCTTTTCTGGCCCAGTCACACACATTGTACACAGACATACATGTAGGCAAAACACTCATATGCATAAAAGAAGTAAATCTAAAATAAAAAAAAAGAAATCAAGAACCCCAAACATCACGTAAAGCCTCACCCATGATATTCCAGTATGTGTCTGTTAATGTATTATACACATGTAACACAGCACACACACGCTCATATCGACTGTGTAGTAGTTGATTCTATTTTTGGTAGTCATGTGTATTCTATAAAGTTGGCAAATATTGACCTGTTCCTCCCAGGAGAACGCAGGGCTGGCTTCTGGCAGCCTGTAATCACAGCTTTTTCATCCTGTGGTCAATATCACCCTGTTTCGTACTGGTGGTTCTATTTAAAGCCACCCTCTGTATTATCTGCTGTTGATTCATTAACACCGAACTTGTGGCCAACAGTGAAGTAACTGATGCACGCCAGGGGCTTATCTGAGCCGTGTTTCCTTCAGTAAATCGCATTTCCTGGCTGAGCAACACTGCGGCCCTTCAGCACTCCGCTGGAGGCCTTTGAAACCCTCCAATCACAAGTGAAAAACACAAGAGTGTACGAAGAAATCGTGTGCACATGACTGACTCTGACTCTGGGTGTGTGTGAATCTGTGAGGGACTGCAAAGGTGAGGCCTTCATTTTGAGGACACATACACACACACACACACACACACACACACACACAAATCGATTTCAAAATCGAGCAGTGTGGAAACAAACAGAAAATCGTCTAGGTGTCGCATAAGGGGACACACGAATGAAGCGAAAGTAGCTTGCCAGGGTGATTCTTTTTGGCACAAAGGGTGTGCCAAGACCCACACCAGGCTAGCAAGCATGTGGGGGCAGGAGTTTCGCAGCAGGTGATGGCTCTGCCTCTTCCCCATTGGCTGGAGTCTGAGCTCACAGACTTTTGCTATTGGTTAGTTTTGAAAGACTCCATGGCAAAGACAAGGAAGGAAAGTGTCGTGGGTGGGGTGGGGGAGTGCTTTGCATAAACAAAGGTTTTACCAGGTAGGGAAGATCTGTGGAATCTTAGTCCTTGGTAGGCAAACTCTTCTCTTTTAAGTTGTATTTATTTATTTATTATGTATGCAGTGTTCTGCCTCATTGCAGATGATTTTTGAGCCACCAGGTGGTTGCTGGGAATTGAGCTCAGAACCTATGGAAGAGCAGCCAATGCTCTTAACCACTGAGCCCTCATCTTACTCACAATTAACCCTAAACTAATTATAGGACTTACGTTATGTTAATATAGTTAAAAAAAATACCAGACTGTGAATCTGAAGATAGGATATAAATCTCCTTATTTACCAAGAAAGCATGTAAGAGCTGCTAACTCTCCAGTCCTTGGCAAACTATTTTTTATAGACTAAAACAAACACTTCTAACAGTAGAAAAGCCAGTATTTACTATATTATAAACATGAACACAGGTGGAAATGGACACCAAGTCTTTTTAAAATATTTATTTATTTATTTATTTATTTATTCTGACAAGGTTTCTCTGTGTAGCCTTTGCTGTCCTGGAACTTGATCTTTAGACCAGGCCGGCCTCGAACTCAGAGATCCACCTGCTTCTGCCTCTAAGTCTTAATGTGAGCCATGAATGGAATCATCGTGTAATTTTTGAAATATACTGAAAAAAAGAAAAAAAGAAAGAAAAAAGAAAGTTGTTACCCCCTCCTTTTGTCAGGGGAAGGGGTCTGATGTTGCTGGCTTCAAACTCTGCACATAGAGGATAACCTTGAACTTCTGATTACACGCACCCAATATGGCGCCTAGATTCAGCCATTTTCTAACCTGAAGTTCCAGATCAACTGGGTGTCCTGTTATCTAGCCATCCTTGTCATCTCTCCTGGGACCATTATGTGGTTGTCATAGCAGGCCTGCAAACTGGGTGCCAGCACCTCTGTCTCTGTTGCAGGTGGCTGGGAGCAGAGCAAGTTAGATGGGTGCCCAACCTCAATGGTCACGTGGATCACTAGGGCTTGGCTCTGGCATCCAACACACAGCATTCAGTGTTGAAAGAGACGGTGTAAGAGTTGGTGGAAGGGAAGTAGGGGACCTTGATGTGGTGATAGATCAGGGAGGCTTCCTGGAAGAGGTGGCCTAGAAGCTGGACTGATGGCAGTCTGGG